GCGGTCTGTCAATTCGCATGCAGCCACACTGATGATTATAAAAAATCGTCAGGAGTTACCATTTAATCCCTCACGAAAATGGCAGATATGGACATATATGTAAAAAAAAAATAAAATATGGTTATATAAACAATTGTGAATATCTGGCCATATCAAGCACATCAGCTTATATAAGCCTTATCTAGCCAGATCTGCCCAATTTTTATATATCGATATCTGGGTCTGCCAAATAGTGGCATATCGGCCTCTCATATCAGGGCAGATATGCCCCAATCAAATAGGGCAACCTTCATATACAGATTTCTTTTTGGTGTTTATTCTTGCAGATTTGTTTTAAAAAAAACCAGGAAAGCCACGCTGACGCGGTTCGTGCGAGTGAGTTATACGCCTAGGGGGACGCTAAGTGGGTAACTAATATCTGCGATAAGTCGGCTCCATTATTTGAAATTAACTAATTACTTTTCAATAAGTGAAACTAGACATATGGTTACAATAACAAACTCGCTGAGCGTCGTCCCAAATCTCCAAATCAGTCATTTTCAGAAAGGCTAGTGGTTTCGGTAAGGCGCCCGCGCAATTATTCCGTCCCTTATCCCCAGCCTTGTACCTTGTCCACGAGTGGTAACTTTAGCGCACGACTGCGCTTCACACGCGCTCAAAGTTTTCCTAAAAATTATTGGTTCAGGGGTTTTGGACGACGCTCAGCAAGTTGCTAGTAGGAACCATATGTCTATTTTCACTAAGTAAAAGTAAGTTAATAAATATTAATTAATTAACCAACTTATTGCAAAGATTAGCAAACTACATAATGTCCCCCTGGGCGTATAACTCACTCGCACAAACCCCACGGCTTCTTTTAAAACAAATCTGCAAAATCAACAAAAAAAAAACAAAAAAAAAACGGTATCCATGCCTTGCACGTACGTTCCATCATGACGTCGAACACCGGTGTCCACCATGCTGGTGGTTGACATGGCTCCTTCAACAGTGAGAGTAGTGGTAAACTGTGCCGCGCTCGGCTGTAGCAATTACCCGGTATCCCAACGATCGTATCGTCGGCGTGAACCGCGAGACAGAGTGTCCGTCAAGTTAGAAAAAGTACGAGCGGCACGAGGGGGATACATCCGCGGATGACCGAGTTTCCGGCACGTATCTTATAGCGGCGAGCCACTGCACTTTTCTACCGTTGTTTACGTTCGCACACGCCTTTGCATCGGCTTTTGCCCATTCGTGGTGTAGATTCCCTTTGCCTTTCGTTGCATAACGCGATTTCCCCGCTTCGAGCGGACCTTTGGGGCTCCCGGCCGAGTACGGGCAATTGTCGCGCCGCGAGCCCGGCCAGACGGCGACCGGTCGGCGGCGGACCCCGTGAGCAAGCTCGCCGAGACGCCGTTGTCAGGGGATCGGTTTGTCCGTCCGCGAGACGGTAACCTTTGCAAGGAGCGAAAGTATGTAGGCCAAGCCGGTCAGAAAACATCATAATATAAAGCCTGAGTCAATGAGAGCTGTCCGTTATTTGATTTATCCTCATCTTACGGTTTAGATTATGACGGTAACCTTGCGTTGTTAACCAGTATTTCGCAAAATCGTAATAATTTTTTTACAAGTGACTCGTAAAGCCGCTCGCCAAATTTTAGAACGCGTAATTAAGAGTCTTTGTTGTTTTTTTTGGCAATCGCGATACAATGTATCGTAATAGTACTTCTGAAATACTATCGCGATACATTTGTATCGCGATACCGCCTAACCCTGGCCTCAAATCGCCTATTTTGTAGCGTGCAAAGTTGCGGAGCCTCCTCGACTTTGGGCTGCTTATTCAGCGAGGCGGTGGCGCATTCCCCGACTATTTAACCTTCGAGCGAAGTAAATCAAAGCAATGGCCGCGCGGTCTGTTTGGAAGCCGAACTTAGTTGCCGCCGTGACCGTACGATGCGCACTACAACGGTCGCGGGGCTCGGGGGTGCGGTGTCGATAAAACATAAAGTGTCGACAAAAAGTCTGACGGCGCCGTCAGAATACTGTGAGCCACAAATAATCAAGCACTTTTGATAAACATTGTGTGCAAAGAAAGTCCCGAGGGCTGGGCAAAAAGACGCTTTTGATGAACCCGAGGTGAAACATAAATCTTCTGACGGACCATCAGACCACCTCTGATGACCCATCAAGAATGTCCAACAGACCATTAGGCGCCGTCAGGAACTTCTGACGGACCACCTAACCGCATCCGATGGTCCATCTGACTTTTTTGATGTCAAAAAAGTCTGTTGGTCAATCAGGAAAGTTGGATGCTCCGTCAGGAATGGACTGATGGTCCATCAAACTTTCTTGATGGTCCATCAGGAAGCCTGATGGACCATCAGAAAAGCCTGATGGACCATCAAGAAAATCTGATGGTCCATCAGGAAAGCCTCATGACCTTTTCGATCGGCAGATTTACTACAAGAGATTAGAAGATTAATGTTTCTTTTCTCCTAATTATCTAGTGGGTGTCATAACATCGATTCGGGTGCCTACATACATCTTCCTGGAAAAAGGCACCAGAACTACCAATCAGTATAGAGGGGAGCCGTACATTCTAAATCATTATGTTTTTAAAGGGGTACGGAAACGAAATTCCAGCGCTCAGTTTTTTTAGCTTTAATGGGTTGCATGTTGCAGCCTAACTTCAAAGATACCAGTCTTTGGTTGAAAGGCACAAGAAAACTAATTTTAAAGCTAATTAAACGTTCTTTCAATTAGCACCTGGTGGGTGCATGTGGAGCCTATTTGGGAGGTAATCTAGCAAGGTTGGCGAACTTGCTACGTAGTCCTGACGTAGAAAGTTCCATCGGAGCAGCGCCGCTCTTTGGAATTCAACATTATCCTACATAGCTTTCTTCAAGTCACAACCACGCTTGTGTACCAAACCCTCGCTTGTGTACCCGGACACAGCCATTGTCATCCTAGAAGATAAGCTCGTCGCTCAAAATTTTGACAAAACTTGTTTTTCCCATTCCGCTCACCGCTAAGCTGACAGCGCTGTGGAAGTTACGTGGTCCTTGGGTCAGTCACACGCTCGTCACCCCACGGGCACTTCGAACGGCTCGGCTGTGACGCGTTGAGCTATTGGCACCACCATAGCGTTTACAATGCCACCAATAGCAAAGCTCATAACCACGTCAGGCTTGCTACGTCACAAGTTCGGGGGACTTTTTTTCTCTGTTTTGTTTCCTCCGGATATCCCATGACGCATCGCGCTCTCCGTTCGCATCTCTTCGAGCGCTTGCTCGAGCACATGCACCGTTTGGAACAAAAATATAGCCAGTCATTGAAAATACAAACGTGCGATTATCATTTACGGTTATTATCCGTCGTGCTTGACTCATTTCCGAACGAAATTTGAATCTTTCAATTTTTGTTTTTGTACCCCTTTAAGAACGACCGAGTAGTGGAAATGCTCGAATGACCACTTTTGGTGAGATTCATAATACAGAATAGATCGAAATGCGATCTTCATGAATATATTGAAAGAGGTGCCAGTTCGTTTTACATAGTTTATTTGGGATGATTTTGTGGACGTACATGTTTAACATGAAAACCACTAAAATAATACCTGTCAGTTCTTGGAGGTTCCACGTTGGAAAGCGGCAATACGCATAGGGAGTTCTATGTGATATGGGCATGCATATCGCTTGTTCGATCCCAAATTCCTTCTGTGATCTAATAATACCTTTCTACAAAAGTGCAACTTTTTAATGCCATTTTTGCAGCGACAAATGTTATAAAATTGACGATACCTTTTCTAGGATTGTTTTATTAATCATTAATTCATTCATTTCACACTTAAAGGCCTCGTTCAGGGGAATTACATGAGAGAGAGAAAATTTTCAAAGTTATAACAAAAATTAGCAACAAAACAAACAAGTGGTTCAAAGCTAACAGTCCTGCAAATGTAGCTCGTTAATGGGCAGGAGCTCTTACCCATTTGTTTCCTCACACCTCGGTGTTTACTCAACACAAGACCTGTGCACATGCCCACAGGCTTTATGGGCATGTCCATCTCATCTTCTACAATGGAGCGCGGGGCACAGTGTAATGTAAAAAATACTAACAATCGACGAAGTGCGGTTAAGTACCGGATCTCTCCCAAAAGCAGTCGTCAGAGAGTGCGAGCTTGACCCATTTCGGCTTCGGTGCTGAACTGGACATCGTGCATGCTCCATTGTTCATGCAGGCCGGAGTGGTAACAAAAGAGCCCTCCTCGGCGTCACCGGAGAACACGAACTCCAGCCGAACGCTGACGCCGCGTTTGGTTATGTCGGCCGAGCGCTGAGTCATTGTATTTATTGTCCCCATCCGTGTAGTTTTAAAGTTAACCGCTTGGGGCATCACGGTTTGTCCTCCTCCCGAATAACTGTACAGAGTATGGAGCGAAGACGCGCAGATAATTTCAGTTCATAAATGGTAATTCTCCAATGAAACCGAGCATAAGAAGACAGAGGTTTTTCATATATCTGAACATGATTCGATAATAATAACAGGGACCGTATGCATGAAATTTATTTTTAGCGCGTTTCTCTACTCCGTATAACCTTGCTGTCTGCCGCAACGGACATTACGAGCAATGTCTGCCAATTCAGCGATCTGCGTGTACCACGTGACCTCTCACAGAACGTCGTTCCACGTATTCGGAAGGTCACGTGACCCACTCCACGCTATGGATTGCCGCCGGTGCCTCATTGCCACCATGTGGTACATCGTACAGTGAAACGGAGTATATTGCTCAAGTAGTGGGGCGTTTCAGCAGATTGTTCCGGTAACTCCAACTACGAAATGCCCTTGCGCATGCAACCTATCGTTAAATCAACCAAGTAAAACAGACTATATAGTTACAAGACTGGCGCTACAGCTATCACTTTATTTCTTGCATATTCGCGGTCGTACTTCAGGCAGGTGGTTTTGACAATTTCCGTGTGTGTCCTCGAGCGGGGTGGCTCTGTCCGACATTCGGCGCAGTTAAATTATTGTGGGAGCGTAGCCCTGGCCGTCTCCACGAGCGAATGAGACATCTTGCCCTGTACTGGGTCCATCTTCGAGTGATAGGTTCTCTTCGAGTCGGGGTTTGTTTTGTCTTGTCTCAAGTTATACCCATTCCACCACCAATTTCTCTGTGTCCTCCGTGTTGTGGGGGTTGTCGTTAACCGGGTTGTATAACGTGTAGGCCACGCTGGCCTGGGTGGCTGGTACATCGTCTTCTTAACGCATCGGTGTTTGACGCAGTGCTGGAACATCAAAACATGTAGTCTTGAAATCGTAACTCGAGTGAATTCATTTCGACTTGCTTCGTGTTCGCCTGGATTCTCGCTGCCAGTAAACTCCAGGCAGAAGGGCTAAACTATCTAAGCTGATGACTGACGTAAAGCAAGTCATATTGCAGCGTGGGAATGAGATCGCCATTTGTTACCGGCACCCACCGAGTCGCCTAAGGAAAGGTACGAAGGACACCATCGTCTTTCCTGAAGCGCAAGGCGAGAGAGCCGCACCGGTATACTCCGATTCACCTTAAGGCCGACCGCAGCCGATGATACATTTCAGTGGAACCAATAAAGAGCGACAAACTGAATTCGAATATTTCGTGGGCTTTCATTTTAGACTCATTAAAAGAAGTGCGCAAAGCGTATCTTGTCACAAACACCTTCATTATTGCGTTTATGAATGCGCTCTACGATTATCCTATTCACACCTCGACCCATAAACAAATAACTAGAAAATTTAGCAAATTAGTATTACCAATTAAAATGACTAGGCACTTGTAAGCCGCTTGATAACAAAGAGTTGCAGTATTAATTAAAAAGGAGCGTGTTGATGAATTAGATACGAATAAATGAAAGGATAAAAACATAGAGGAGGGAGATGGAAACGGAACTTGTCTTTCCGTCCCCGTCTTCTGTGCTTTTATTCTTTCTTGTATTTGCAATGTACGGTTGCTCTCCCTTTGCAGAGCTCTTCGTTTATTTTTTTTTATTTTTTTTAATTTGGTATCTTATACCGTGGTCCCAATAAAAAAAAAGTAATGCATCAGACCCATTTTTATAAATAAGTATGTTTGCTCCCAGCTGATGTGTTTACTGCGCATGTACAGGAACCGTTTCAGGAGTAGTGAGGCGATGGGAATCTCCAAGTCTACTTCCGCTATTGGAGCTTTTAAATTACTCTGACCCTTTCAAGCGCTAACTCCTCTCGTCGCATAGATATCACAAAGAAAGTTTGCGCTTGTACCCCAATGGTACTTAAGAAATAACCTAAAATCCTGTTATTCCCCGCAAACAGTGACAAAGTACTAAAGGGGCCCTACAATCCTATTTAAGCGTCTACTTTTTTTTTCCGGTTTCCACTTCTCTTGTGGTGCGAGCAAGCCGAGGAACAGAGACAGTTGACTAAATATCAGTTCGTCATATTTTAACCGGACGACGCGGAAACCTCCTCCTCCTACGGGGAGCGGTCCACTGTGTCGAACGCGCGCGGAATGTTACGAAATCGGGAAGTTGTTGGTCCTGGTCAGCCGAGGAGCGAAAGCTGCCCCGTTGCCGGGCAGCTATCCCTCCTCGGCCTCACCTCCTTTCTCCATCTTTCCCTCCCTCCGCAAATTCCTCAGTCCCTGCGGTCCGCGGACGAGGGAAAAGGGGGACAGAGGGCCAAGGATGTCACGAAGGAGGTTATTTTTTGCCTGATTTTGTAATTTTAATATACCTGTAACTTTCAAAATAAAGCAAAATTCGAAAAGGAAAAAAAAGTTCACTAAGTTACTACGGTCAGTGCACTCAGGTTCGGTGCAAATGAAAACCCAATAAAAGGTCGTTGCAGAGCCTCTTTAATGCTATCTATGGCTTTCAAAGCGCCACACGCCAAAATCAGCGCGTATGTGATCATTTCGAGGAATACCCAGCCGCAGCCGACGCTACGAGGTAATGAGCTTTTTGTTTATGATTAGTTCAGTGATGGTAGAACACTCACATGGACATAACGAACAGTATGTTGGTACGTTCTTGACGTTGTCTGACTGGTTCCATCAGCTCGCAGCGTCGGCTCCGCCTGGACTTAACAGGGTACTAAACTACTTTCTGTGACAGTCTATTTATCTATTTATGGTCATCACTCAATCTATGGGCTCTAAGCATCCTAAAAAAAATCAGACATTACATTCATGAGTGGTAGATTTCTTAATTAAAATTGATATCAAAGATAAATTATGTTAGATCCTGGTCGCGAGATAATTACGTCACGAGCACATAGCTTTCTCTAAGCAAAAAGATGTACGGTTACAGAACAACGATGGACGGCTTGACAGTGCAACGTCTACGAGTGCGAGCGCTCCCAAACATGAGCTGCGGTGCTCCGCAGAGTGGCGCGGTCTACTGTGTATTTGCTAGATGGCGACTCCATACCACTTAATACATGACAGATTACATCGGAATTATCGCAGACACCAGAGGGCGGCGTCAGAGGACCTCTAGTGTCTGGTTAATTATAAATAAGTTCAATAACACATTTTAATTAGTTATTTGGGTTATCGTGAATAACACTTATAATATTTTTCCTTGGCCTTATACCTCACTGGCCGAATACGCATTAATGGAACATTCACTGCTTTTTTTTAAGAAATCTGTTTGGACAGAAATGAAACCCTCATATATAGCTATTTTGTAGGCAGAGTTTGACAGGTTTTAGAACAATTAGCAAATGATGTTAGTCCCTATAATTACCGAATAGGCGATCTGAATTGACTCATAGAGCAGTAAGGGTTTGTAAGATTATTTTTTTAAGTACTCCAATTGTATGTTGATTGAATAAAAACTAAGCGAAGAGGTTACAATAGTTTGTATTTATGCACTTCTTCGACAGCATTTGTGTACATTAAGTATTCAAAATCATATTATACGGTTCGAAAATCGGTTTCTCAACGTATCACTATGCCATTTACTACAAATGTGCCGCTAGGTGGCTATATTAACGGACGAGATTATGTCCTTTACGGGATCACCTCGTTAACGTGTTTACTACAGAGTTGCGGCTAGGCAGCTTTATTAACGGACAAAATTACCTCGTTAAATAATGATTAAAAAAAACTGTTTTATGCAATCTTTGATGACGGCATTTGGAGTCGATGGCATGACCGTCCTCGCCTAGTCGTGGTTGCTGCCGACAGATGCCGCTACATAAGATTTCTAGTGCGAACAGGGCTGCTGCAGCTAACGTCCAAATGCGAACGAAACGCGCGTCGCAGTGGAAACGGAGCAAAGGGAAGAGTGCAGAGAAGCGACCGAAAAAACTAAGAGGAGGTTGGAGATTTGGTGGCGAAGAACGCAGGAGAAGTTACAATATATGTGTTTTGTTTCTAGAGCTATTTTATTTTCTTCTTGGCTCGGTACGAACAAATTGTTTTGCAACCACCTGTGTCAAAAGGAGTAGCCTTAAACTCGTCGTCATCATGAAGATTACGTGTGCGGCGCCTCAATCTAGGGCGCCAAAACGGGAGTGAAACGCGGCAAATCTTCGGCGCTGACATCGGCAGCCCCGCGAGAGAAAGAACGACAAAGAGAACGACAGAAAAGCGGAGAAAGAAAGCAGACGAAAAGTTAACAGTGTTCGTTTTACCGCGACGGGCTGAAGTTGCTCGAGCGCTTGTCAACTTTATTTATTTTTACAAAATGCGAGCTTCCGGTGTTTTCCTGCAACGTAAGCTAGAAAATATAAGGGTAGAGACTTTACATGTGTTGTTTTGCTGCTTCTTTCTTCATATTAAAGCGTCGCCAGTGGGGTTCATCGCGACCGCCATTTGGGACCGCTGATGTCCGCGTCTCTGCCCCGGCGTTCCCATGGGGCCCCATTGCATGGAACGTCCTTTCCCTCTCCTACTGAAAAACCGTCTATGGGGTCAACCAGGATTTCTAAAATGATTTTTCAAACCTTTCAATATTTTTTTTAAGGAGTTTGAGATGTCCTTTAAAGCTTTCTAAGGGGCTTAAAGTACCCGTTAAAAATTTCTAATGGGCATAATGACCCGTCATATTTTTTCAGAGGCCCGCGGAGTTTCAATCTTTTTTTGTGGAAGCACAGTACCCATTAAAATCATTTTAACGGTCTGTCGGAGAGGTCACGTGACCCTTCAGGATACATGCGTAGGGGAAGGCGCTTCGCCATTTGTATTGAGCGGAAGCAACGAGCGTGCGCTCAGTGTCGGCTTCCCGTACCGTGCGTGGGACCTGTTGTTTAGAGCAGCTCATTTTGCGGATCAAGGAGAGTGCATCTCAGTGCGGTGTTTCTTGCGCCTCTTCGTCTGTTCGGACTTCAGAAACTCGTCCAGCGAGTGAAAAATATGGCGGGGACGCCACCGCGACGGAGCACCAGCGACGACACCTTGACCGTGCTCGGAAGTTCTCAGCGGCGGCGAACGTTGGTTTGGCGTTCGTGGTTTTCTCTGAACGTCCTACTGACAGTGAGTGTGTGTGCGTGTGGAACGAGGGGCACCGTACACGTAAAACTCAATGTCTGAAAAAGATTACCAATAATGCTTTAAACTGTATTTTTGGTCTATTGTTTACAGTAATTTGGGTGTCTAAAGGGTTGAAGGGTTTAAGGGCTTAATGAACTGTAGGACTTTGAACGGCTGAGAGACTTCCTCTACACATCAGGGCTGAAGTGGAATTTTCCGTAGGGTCTAGAGTATTATATCAACTTTTTGCCTCGAGCAATTATTTCTGTATCAAAAATGTGGAGCCATGAAGTATTTAAGAGTCTGCATGCCTATTTAGGCTTTTTTTAAATGAATCAATTATCGCACTTTCAAAATTGTACATTAGGCAGATGTGCGCTTGTATAGTGAAGACGTTCGTAATATCGTCTGCTAAGCACGGCGCTGGCGCACCCTCGACGTTTCCGGCATCTGTCTTAGCAGGCACGTAGCCAGGATTTTTTTTTTTTTTGGGGGGGGGGGGGGGGGGCGCTGATGACAAAATGCTGTATGAAGGGGAGGGGGGGGAGGAGGTCCCAGCAAATTGAAAGATTTCGGGGGGGGGGGGGGGGCGGGCCCCATGGGCTCCCCCCACCCCCTGGCTACGTGCCTGTGTCTTAGGCATATACAACTAGGAGAGCATGTTCATGACACCACCTGAATGCCGCCGCAGACTGCCCAAACCACGAATTTTTATTTTTGAACCGAGTACTTTATATGTTTACTCCAAGCTTCCACCACCTTGCCGCACATCTATTGGGCAGGAGATCGAACTATAGGGGGCGCTCTGACCCGTTTGTTTCCCCACATCTCGGTGTTTACTCAACATAAGGCCTGTCCACATGTACACAGGCCTATGGGCATGTCCATGTTATCTTCTACAACAGAGCACAGGACACAGTGTAAAGAAAAAAAAACACTAACAGTCAACGAAGTGGCGTTAAGTGCCGGATCTCTCCCGAAAGCAGTCGTCAGAGAATGCGAGCTTGACCCACTTTGGCTTTTGTGCTGAGCTGGGCACAGTGCATGCTGCATTACTTATGCAGGCCGGAGGCATAACAAAAGGGCCCCTCCTCCCCCTCACCCGAGAACACGAACTCCAGCCGAACGCTGACACCGCGTTCGGTTATGTCGGCCGAGCGCTGAGTCATTGTATTTGTTGTTCTTACCCATGTAGTTCTAAAATCAACGGTTTGGGGTCGTCACGGTCGCTCCTCCTCCCCAATAGCAAATCGCAGCGCGACACGCTAACAAACCAATTATCGCAAACCATCTAAAATGCGTTCGAAGCGTTTGTGTACCTGTGGTAGTTACATAATGGTGCATATATTACAAGCGGTAGAATAAACCACTGCAGCGCCCCAATGAAGGTCACCCAATTTTTGTCCCCCCCCCCCTCCCCCCGCCCCCGTCTATTGATTCTTAAATTCCTAAGCCTTGATCATTATACCTTATAGGCAGCTGGGTGATACACAACGTTCGACCAGGTTGCCAGCATGTTAAATCGTATCCGGTCATCTCCAGCGCTAGTTAGCCAAGTGCAATTGGCCACGCACGCTGCCCTATACCGCTCATAAAAGGTTGGCGCAGAGTGTGTACCGGGTCTTTTTGGGTCAGGCGCACGGCCATTCCAGTCAATAAGTGATTACGTGTAGTTGAACCAGTGCGCTGCGTCATACTCCGAGGCCGGTGTAAGCGAGGGTAGTTTTACAAACTACGGTAGTACTTCAACATCCCGGCATGTGGGGAAACGGTATAGTAACGATATTAGTGAAAAATGCTTCTCAAGTCTAGCTAATGATATCGACGCAGACTACGTGCCCTTCAGGTACATTTTGAGGTCTGTTCATTTAATTGAAAAAATAGCAACCTGTACAACGTGCATACTTTTTTACTACTTATAAAACATTAATTTGCGGTATATTACTAATTCTTAAAGTAAAAGAATCTGATTAATCCCATGATTGTAAGATAGGGCTAATAATTTTCGAATTACGTGACTAACCGCGTTTCTTTCACCACAGCCGGTGCTAACCCAACTAAAAGCTTGCTAAGTTCTGTTACATTTCGTCAAAGTAGCCTTTGTTTCATTTTAGTAATAAAACAACATGTGATAAGTAAATCCATATTTCAAGAAGAGAAATCTAGTGAACCGAGATGTTTTTGGATCGAATGTCTTTCAAGGGATTGGTCCAGAATACAAATGATAAAAATAGTCCTTACATATCCATATTTACATTCCATTCCATCCGTAAGTTGAGCTTGGAGGCACTCGTGGTAATCAGCAGGGCAGCACCAGATTTTGCACTCTGCAGAATTTCGGGAGTCCTGCAGGGAAAAGTGGTTTAGTGGCAGCGTTACAGAAGAGTGCCCTGATGGCTTCATCTAGCGAAAGGTCGGGATTTTTAATAGTAATGCAGCTATTTAAGGTCTTGGTCTCAGCATGCTGCACTGCACAGTTTTGTACCAATCTAACAAAACTTTTCTTCAGTCAAAGTAAACTTTCTCTAAAAAAGAAAAAAAAGTGTATTTTAAGTTTTGTGAAAAACTGCTAAAGAGATTGTCGCCCGTGTGAGTTCTGAAACGGTTAAGGATGGCATTGCAGGATGGCATTCTTCTGGCTTCCTTGGCGGACAACCATTGTCTTTCGAAGAATAATGTTAGCAAGCTTGCGGTTGCCCCTGCTTAAACCATCGAGCAGAGAGCTAGATGCTGCGTTAAACTTAAATCTGCCCAAGTGCTTCCTTATTTTTCGGGTAAACATAACAGGGTCCCTTTACTTTAAATTAGATAGGCTTAGAGTGCTGCAGAACTGATTTAGAAGCGCATTCTGGAGCCAGAAGCTGCAGTTCTTATAAACACAAGTGTGCGTCAGGACACAGTGGCACTTCCTCAATTCCGAAAGAAGAGCGTCCCAAATTTACTCCAAAGCGTGAAAAAAAAAAAAAAAAAAAAAAAACAACGGACAAGCACACCTGGTAGTTCCCGAGGTAAAGAGTTTCAAGAGAGTTTTGCGTTAATAAATTACACCCAGCAAGCCTGCGTTTTAGCCATTCCTTTTGATGTCAATTGGCTCCTGTAAGCTTGCTCGTGAATAAAAAACACTTCGTAGGGCTTCTTAGAGGTCACTATACATTGTGCAAGGACAAGAAGGACGCTCCTACAGGCACACTAGATACCACATCAAGGAATCGCAAGGAGCATTAAAGGCCAGCACAACTGCCGAATTATATTGCACGACAGTCTCAGAGTAAGGATTTCAACCGCCATGTCATGTCAGCACTTCAACCGCCATGTCAAGCATGTCAGGGTCTACAGAGACTCAGAGCCTGCGTCGTCAAGGCCGTTAAGTAACGACAAGAAGTGGACGTGTCGTGGTGCTGCCGCTACGATACAGAGACTGGCAATCGCGTCACGGGCACTGAGTTAGTTCCAGAAACTGTAACACTACTCTCTCCCCAAGAAAAGGAAAAGAAGAATGGCGGCGTGTTATGATGTGCTATTGTAGAAGACGAGGACTCTCGGTGAGACCACTGTCATGGCCGTGGCGCGTGTCATGCTTTGGAATTAAAACCGGCTGGTTTTCCCTCCTATATTTTATTAAGCCCTCCTATATTTCATTAAAAACTTTGCTTAAACCGTCCTCCGGACCTTAACCCACATAAGACTGTGTAACACTCTCTATTGCTTCATAAACACTTATCTTTAGGTTTACCTGATTTCGTCCTTGGTTGGGTACAAGGCTATTTATGCCATTCGCTCCCAAAGAGTAGTCATTAATGGTTCATAATCATATTTCGCTTAAGGGCCAACAACCATTCCGCGCTTTCCACTTATTTCTCGCTTCCTCCTGTCCCCCTTCTACCCTGTCTACCGTTGGCTGTTTCCTCCTCCCCATGGTGAGGAGGATCTTCTGCCTTGCAGAATCTCGAGTCTGGTCGTCGGCCTTTAAGGGCGGTGTTCTTCAGGGATCCGTGCTCGGTCCGCTCCTGTTTTGGATCTACGTCAATGATTTAGGCCACGGAATTATACCTCCAAAGACAGATTATATGCAGATGAATGTGTGTTATACAGGGATATATATAACCAGGGTGGTGCTTTTGTTCTAAAAGCTAATCTTGATCAAATACTCACATACGGCGCCAAATAAAGAACAAAACTGAATTTAGCAGAGTATATACGTGCAACGGCTTTAGCAGGGAGTGGCTAATCAACCAGACTGACTTCTATCTAGTTGGAAATAACATTGCCGTGGTGTGGGGTGTGAATTATTTGGAAGTTATCTTTTTATCTAATGTAACGTAGTGCCGTCTTGCTGAATGCATTTCGATATAAGCAGGACGTGTGCTTAATGTTATCGAGAAGAATTTGAAAGGAGCACCTCGGTACGTCAATAAAGCTTCATACATTTCTAATGTGCGTTCCACCATAAAATATGCCACTACAGAATAAAACTTTGACTCTGAAACCTAAATAAACTTGAGGCCATTCAAAATTGACCAGACTGCGTTGTTACTAACTGATAACACATTAATATCAGTGTCACGGCATAAAAAAAACAACTTTACATGGGGTTTGCTTGAACTTTGCCGCAGATTATTAAGGTACTGTTTTCTAAATCAAGTGGTGCGTGAATGTATTCCCATCGATAAGGACATTTACTTAAAACACCCTACTTTTATTTCCCCAAGATTAGACTACACATAAAAAAACAGTGAAATAACATGAAGAACATGTTTTCTAAAATCATCCTTTTTTTACCGAACCATAAATCAGTGCATTACACACCCTGACACTGATTTTGGCCTCTGACGAAACGTTCGGCAGCTTGCTGAAGTCACACTTACATGGAATCGAAACATGACAAGTCAGTATTTTCTTATTTGACGAATTTACTTGCTCTGCGTGTGCTTTGTTTTACTTTTAGCTGATGTTTGCATGTATCTGTACGTTTCTTTTTGCTCGCGCATTGTTTTATATTTGCAGCTGTTTGTCTGCGTGTCTACGCGTGTATTCACATCTGTATATTTTGATGAAATTGTATGTAATGAACCCCCGAACATTATGCCGTCCAAGAAAAGTTTAGGTTAGTAATAATAATAATAAAAAAATATCTACTGGCGAATCACACATGAACGGAAGCACCGGTATGGACGAGCTGGTTTAGACGCGGCGCCACGCAAAACAACAGCCCCAACGTGCACGGCTAAGATGACAGTACGTCTCACACCCTGGTGACTACTCCACATAATCCAAAGAACAAGAATCGGAAACTCTTCCGTGATGTAAGTCGCGCATGGTGTCATCTAAAGGTGCAGACTTGTTCTTTAATAGTTAAAAAAATCTTTTTTTTATAAAACCGTCTAATTCAGGCAAAAATGTATTAAATATGACATATACTTTTTCTCATAAATTAACATTTATAAATCGGTACAGATGAAAACAAACGTAACCACTCTGCGTCCGCTTACCCCGCCGTCTGCTTGAATCACACGCTATGTCACAGGACAGCGCCCGCGAGGTTGCGACATCAAAATAACTTTGGCACGAGATTGCTCCCTCCTGCCAAGATTATTCAATATAATATACTCGTGTTTCAAACATGACATAACTCTCCTAGAGTTTTGGCGAATAATGTAGAATCAACCCTTTAAGAAACAAACACCGAACCATGTTCTGACATTAAGGGACATATCCTATATTTGTCACGGTTGCCGAGCCGCAATATAATGTTTTATGCGTTGCTTTGCTTCATGACGACGACGATTGTAAACAGCGGAAACTTACGGGATGAACGGTCACGCCCTTGAAGGCTGAGTACGTTTTCTCACACAATTGTTGTTTTGTAATTCCAGCCCCCGGAAGTTGTGCCATATGTATCGTGTATTCTTTCGCTGACAACATTTCAAAGCAATCCTGTTCTAGAGTCCTGAAACAAACAACAATCAAATTAGCCATGCCTATGCGCAATTTTAATCTTTATACATCCGCAGCCCAGCGTGTCATCGCCTCAGCCTAGCACGAGCATGTTCGTCGCTTCGGAGTGAGAGCAAATCACGCGCCATCGGCACGAACACTGAACATGGAGCACGCCAGTAACCTTTTTTTGGAAGGGTCTGCATTCAGTGGCAGAGTAAAACTGCTGGAAATGCTCCTCCCACAGGGGTACTGCGCGTGTTTCATGTACCTGCGCTGTCGAGAAAGTAGTGCGCCTCCTTCAGGTCCGAGAAGACGCCGCGAAGCTCGCACACCGATCGACCGAAATGACATAGCCGCGAGGCGGCAAAGCTACCTGGGTGGCCTAATGCCTTGGATTGAAAGAACGATCAGGCGTAGCGGACAAGCACAGAGCCAGAGATTTAACCTTGTCCTCCGATGCTCAGCTTGAAGTGCGAGAGGGCGAGCGCGGTCGTTCGCACGACGAGCGTTATAGTTTTTTTTTGGCAAAATGTTCGCTGACGATGATGGAGGAGATAACATCCTCACATTATTTGTCAAAGCAACGAGATTCATTTTTCAAAATGTTTAGAAGTTCCTCGTCGTCGTCCTCTCCTTTGCCCTAAAATGGCGCCGTGCAGTCAACGGCTGGAAGGAGAGGTTAGCGTGCCGGTCAATTACGGTGTCACGTGAGCACATGTAATTTCATTAGTGACCGGCGTTACGTCAGCGTTAAGCTGGCGCTTGTGCCTAATCAACTTGGCGAAGCATGCTCGGCATCGGACTCCGGTCCTATCGCGGAGTTCTTGGAGGAAGAGAAAGATGTTTGCAGGCTTTGATTTTTCAAAACGGTGTGGTCTACCGCGGCGTTTCACAGCCGCGACGTGGCTTCCTATGCTACTGATCGCAGCCACAAAAGTTGCTATTGGTGCCACGCTTCAGAGAATAATAAACAGTGCTTTGAAATAATTATTTAATTTTTTAATGAGGCAGCACTCAGGTGGTGTCAGTCTATCAACTTACGCAGAGCTTTCAAAGAACTTACCGCGGTATTTCAGAAACATCGCAAAAACAAAAGATACAAAAAAAAAAAAAAAACGCTGATAGGTTTACACTTTTGTGACGCAATTGGCAAAGTGCAAAGTGTGACGCAATTTGCAGACAACGAACTGTCACGACTTCCTTTTTGTGTGGTCGCGGAAAGAACACAAGACGACTGGATTACATTTTTCATCGTCTGCTCGCTCAGTCCTGTCCCGGCAGATCGACCAACCGCGGGGCCGGTCCGAAGCCAATCGACACCAAAAACGGAGAGCGGAAGCGTGCTCTTTTAGCGGAGAGTTTTTCCGACGCGTTTCGCTTTGACCCGTGCTTTGACGGGTGGCGCCCGGATTGAGACTTGGAGTGCGTGCGTAACAAAACCGCTGGACGCAACTAATCACAGGGAAGAGGGAAGTGGAGGGGAGCTAAAGGCGAAGGGGCAGGTGGACAGAAACATTCTCATTGGGCTTTCATAAGTGACATATTTCTGACGGCTGACTCGACGTCACACGCACCCTCACAACGCGGCCGTCTCCGCTGGGAGACCGAGGGGCGAGGGCTCTCCAAAGTTTTCGTGGCCGGGCGTGAGCCTAGCACACCGAGTTTCCTGTTTAGCTCTCAATCCATCGCTCTCGTCACCGGCCCTCGCCCTTCCCTTTTTATAGCCAACTTCCTTGGGTGTTGAGAAGGGACTCTCCCTTCCTCCAAGGTTAGTTGAGCGGGCCCCTTCTCTCGGGACACAGGAAACCCCTTCGCGGCCCCAACGTCTTCTGGTGGACCGCCAGCAAAACTAATACGTTATTTCCTTGTAACGGAACGAAGGGAAGCCATCGGCACCGGTGATATGTGTCGCGACACCGCTAAGCCTCTTTACTAGAACAAACGGACACAGTGAACACTTCGATGTCAACATAACCTGAAGCGCCGTTGTCAGACTTGTAACAGAGAATGACCGGGAGAGATAAGACCGTTTTTTAAGCCTCTTGCGACAGTGTACAACTTCCTTCGCAGCAGCGCATCCGTACTCCGCCGTCAAAAGAGGTAAAGGGTCGTTCACACTCTTGCGACCGAGTAAGACCGAGAGACATCAGACCTGTTTCAAGCCTATTGCGACGTCTCAAAACTAGCTTCGCTGTAGCGGAGTTGGTCCTAATACATCGCAAGAGGCTTAAAAAACGATCTGGTTTTTCTCGGTCTTACTCGGCCGCGGGAGTGTAAACGGGCCGTCCTGTCTCTCTCGGTCGTACTCGGTTGCAACAATGTGAACGGCCCTTTAAAGCGCCGTTCACACATCTGCAACCAAGTAAGACCGAGAGAGACCAGACCGGTTTTTAAGCCTCTTGCGACGTCTTAGGTCCAGATGCGCCGCAGCGGAGCTGGTGCTAAGACTTCGTAAGAGGCTTAAAAATCGGTCTGGTTTCTCTCGGTCTTGCTTGGTCGTAAGAGTCTGAACGGGCCTTTGGGTTCTCACATCGCCACACATTCACTACCACAGTCGGGGACCACTGTCTGTGGCAATAAAGCCAAAGCTAGATAGCCGAAGCACGCCGTTTCACTGCGCAGCTGAATATGGTTCAACTAAAATAATTTGCTGCTTGTAACCTAACGAATTAAAAATATAAAATGCCTATTTTAGTTACGATTTAACAATGCTATTCTACTATTAGCTAGGATCACGGCCGGACTGGAAGCGCGTGCTCTCTTTCTCTTCTTACGGCCTTTGCAATTGGGGCAATCGCCCCCTCCTGCCGCAATTCGCGGGTGGCGCTGTCACCTTACCCCTGGCCTACCCTTTGCCGTTTGCACAGAGCGCGTCTGACAGTGTATCTCAGCGCTGTCGCAACTTGCGGTCGAGATTTTATTGCCTTTGACAACTTATTCTTACGTTTAGGCCCTCAGCCACTCTCTAATGCGCTTTTGATGAGCCCAGAACGGTGAATATATGACGGACGTCTCCGAGAGTTTCGGGTGTAAAAAGTAGTAAGTAGAAACACAGAATGCAATGGACCTTTTTCCAGTAAGGAGTGCCTCATGACGGTTTCGCCGCCTACTACAAATGGAGGGCAAAAATACTCGCATTCTCCCATAGGAACAGATTAGTGTCGCAAGAAAACAGTGGCCCCCAAGAATGGCGAAAGGGCGGTCAAGGTTAAGGGAAAAGGATGTGCGCGTGCGCAGACGCTTACTCAAAAAAGGTCCATTGCGGAAAAACTATGCTCGTTTTACCTCCAGGACTTCTGTTGCAACTAACGAACAGGAGACGGACCCCTTCTACGTGGAGAATCTTTAAATTATAAATATTTCGTACACTGTCTTGAAATGTAAGAAGCAGGCCCAATCTATCTTATGCCGTGGTCTGGATCATCGTTTCATAGGCCGCACATGAAGTCGGTCAGCTGCTCTATACGAGGGTGTAGCAATCTATACGATTTTCGCACAGTGCATATAACAGCCTAAAGTGCTTCCTCGAGGGCTTGTGCACATATCCAGCTGATTTTTCGTCACAGGGGAACGCAGTTTGCTGACAACACTGCCTGGCGGTAAGGTGGTTAAAATCGAAGTGAAGTTCAATAAACCGGTACCAAAACAACAACCTACGAAGCTCGAACACCAGCGCAAAGCAGCTCGAAGGGACCCTCCGAGTGGGGGTGAAGTGGGGTGAGGTGGTGGCGCCCCTGGCGGCAAGTAAGTGAACTACATACGGAGAAAAATTCCATTGACTCCAGGGCGATTGCAAAGGCCGTAAGAAGAGAAAGAGAGCACGCGCTTCCAGTCCGGCCGTGGCCAAACTTATGCATTACATTTAAGCTCTTTTGGGTTTTTTTGGTTTAAGTTCGCCGCAGGTTTTCTAGTTCCCCGCAAAACAAAAATGGTGTCTTTATGGTGTGCGTTGTCGGGTAGTATCTATGATGTATCGATCGGTACCTTCCGTGAGCTCGCCCCTTTGTTTTCCCCGTAGGATTTTTATGAATTTCGGAAAACCAAGAGCTGTCGAAACGAACCAAGAAAATCTGCAACAGGTACGCACAAGTGAGACAGAAGGAGCCAAAACTTTCTATTGTTTCCTTATTCCGGTTGATTAGCAAGCTCACTGGCGTAAGCGAGCAGGGCTGGGGATTGAGTACAGGATCCCAGGGTTCTTTCTGGCAGCGCGAGCTTTCGCTCTACGTGTTATGAACTGTAATGTCCGTGTCCGCATTACATCTAAATTCTCTGGTGTCGGGTAGCCTTATAGGAAGTATTCACTGGGGGCCATAGCTGTGTGCACGACTGTTGAGCGCGTGCTGATGGCGAGCTTCCACAGTTCTTTTGGGACGTGCACCTTCCGCACCTTAGCAGCCTTTTAGTGTGGGCTCGTTCAGAGCATGCGCTCTAGACATAACCCGCAAATATGGCGCCCGGTGAATACTCCTTATAGACAGGTTTCTTTTATACCGAGAATTTGCTATCCACAGAGCGGACAACGTCTTCGGATCACCATTACACGCGGTGTATAGTGCTTGGAAACTTTGAAAACTATTTTTTTTTAATTGAGCAAGAACAATATAGATGTAAGAGATCCGTGTAAATGGGCGTGATAGATAAGTTGATTGCATGCACAGTGCCAACGACGCTTATATTGGCGATGAACGCATTCAGTACGACGATGCGCCATGGTGATCTTGGTGCGACTGGATAAGAACGACCTTGTCAAAGCTCCAAAGATTTGAAGGGGCCGAAACGGTGATTATCATGGCAACGGAGACCGATTAGCCAATCGCCTTGCGAGGTTTTGGTCGTCTCTATGGTTGCATTTGTTTGTGTTCGGCTAGCAGGCAGGGAAGGCAGTGGCGCTACTTTTCCAGGATCCTGTGACTTTATTTCGTACGAGGAGACGAACGGGAACTACCTGTACCGTATTTATTTCAAAATAAACCCCCTTTTTTTTTCGGCGACGTTTTTTTTAAATTAGAGCTCGAGCTACAGTCAAGACCAAAGAAGCTAGACCAGTAATGGTACTGGCCATAGTTTCCGGGAATTTCGCGCGATTCCAGGCGCTCACCCATGCCAGCCACTGCTCCTAGCACTCTGGTAAAAAGCGGTGAAGCTCGCATGCGCGCGGGCTGGTGAGAGGCTTTAGTGAGAGTGGTATGGTACAGTGGTATAGTACAGTGGTATGCGGCAGACGGGCGGCGGAGAAAAGCTCACCGGAGAAAAGCTCACCGGACAAAAGATCACCGAAGATAAGCTCGCCGGAGGAAAGCTCACTGAAAAACCGGCAGATGTGGAGGAAAGCTCACCGGCCTTTGAGCGGATGCGGAAAAAAGCTCACCGATTTTTGTTTTAGAGCGCAGCTCCTATGCGCCCGTTTCCGACTTGAGCGGCGTCGTCGTTGCCGTCGGCGTCGCCGTCGCCGTCACCGTCGGCGTAACCGCGCGGTGCATGATGGGTAAATTTTCCTACTAAATTTTGCGGAATATTTTCCCCGCTAAATTTAGCGGAAAGCTTTTCGCGCCAAATCTAGCGGAGCGGAAAATTTTCCCCGCTAAATTTAGTGGTAAATTTTACCCGCTGAATTTAGCGGAACATTTTCCCCGCTAAATCTAGCGGAAAAGTTTACCCGCTAAATTTAGCGGAAAATATTCCCTGCTAAATTTAGCGGAAAAAATTTCCCGCTAAATCTAGCGGAAAAATTTCCCCCCTAAATTTAGAGGAAAATTTTCTCCGCCTCGAACCTCGATATCCCAGTGACCGTTCTATCCTATTTTCAAAGGTTAACAAAAGCTTCATAGAGATTTTCGGGCACCGTGTTGTTGCGCATGCACATTTGTGATTTTCGGTCTTTACCGTTTCGCTTTTTTTTTTAGGTATTAGCCAGACATTACTAAGTTTTCGAACTTTTTCCTGTTCTCCAGGTTCATAAAGTTTTCAGTCAGGCTTTCTTTGCCTAGAGAGCAAACCACGAAAAACACTCGCCCGCAATTGTTAGTTTGGGAGCAGTATATCCGATAAGCTGAGCAAATATTACAATAAAAAGCATTTTCTTTTTGATAAAGCTAATAAATTCTTAAAATAATGAATTTATATATGGTAGGCATGATCCAATAGCCTTCATATGAACAGAAGAAAAAAAAACGGTGAGCTTTTTTCTACTTACGCTAAATTGCCTTTGAGCGTTTCTGCGCATTCGCCGGTTTCGCGGTGGGCTTTTCTCCGGTGAGCTTTTTGCCGGTGAGCTATTCTCCGGTGAGCTTTTCTCCGGTGAGCTTTTCTCCGGGATTCGCGGCAACCATGATAATCAAATGATCTCAGCCGGTGTGAGATCACTATGGTGGATCCACGGTCCACCTTATCGCACTAGCCTCCTTCATATTATGTTGCGGTGTTTTCTCGCGGCTTTTAGCTTATAACAGTTCTTGTACAATTTTAAGGAGCTCAGTGAAAGCAGACATGGTTTCAATTATAAACTTTGTCAGCGTCTACGAAAATCGATAATTTTTAGAAATGCCATGAGCGCGTGGACAGCGTAATAATGCGCTAAAGGTAGCACTCGTGCTATAGGTGCAGTACAAACCTGGAGTTATGAGCAGAGACGAAAAAATCGCGCGGGCCCGTTTTCGCGCTAGTAGCCTTGCTCATGATGCACGAGTGGTAACTTTAGCGCACTACTGCACTCTTACGCGCTTAACGTATTTCTAAGTTTTTTACGTTAATAGGGTCTATTCATTGGGCGCCATATTTGTGGGGCTGTTTAGAGCGCATGCTCAGAATGAGCTCACATAAATAGGCTGCTAAAACCGGCAACCTTGACGGTGTGGAGTGCACGTTCCAAAATAACTGTGGAAGTTCGCCGCCAGCACGCGCTCAGCAATCGCGCACACAGCTATAGCCGCCAGTGAATACACCCTATACGATGTGTAGATGCTCGCCCCTGTCACGTATTCAATTGTTATATAATTGCCTTAATGATACAAATATTGCTATATTCAGTAATATATCTTTTTACCGCAAGCAATTGGAAGTGCTTCAGGCACACCTCTGACCTGTGCTTTACTTTGCTTTTATTGTGTCACTTTGTTTCTGTTCAATTTTAGCATCGCCTTGTGCGCCGAAGCGAAGAACTCCGGGTTTTTTTTGGGCACATAAAATTAAAAATTATTATTAATCTTATTATTATTGAGAATTACTGATTTAGTGGTTCTCGATGACGTTCAGCAAGATTTTCATTGAGACCATGTGGTATTTTTCACTAATTAAAGAGCTAATTATCAAGTATTACTTAATTATCTGTTTGATCGCTGCGATTAAACGCGTATACCATGTCCCCGTGGTCGCGTAAGTTACCTGCACAAATCACATAAGTGTAAAATTCACGGCTTTCTGAAAACAAATCTGTTAAGCTGTCAAAAACATCCGGTGATATTAATCCTTGCAAGATCAATATTTGTCTTGTCTGAATTACAATGGGCGTGCGTGCAATGAGGCTGAGAGGTAAGGCGGAAGCAGAAAATAGGAAATGAAAATCGTACTCAAGAAACCCACGCAAGTGTTGCACGGAACACGTAGACCATTCTCCATTCCGAGCGCCGTTTGCAGTTGGTGCCATTGTGTAGCCATCACGTGCGCTGCATACATAATTCTTGTATGCACCAGTGCTATATACTGCTTTGTCTCCATCATGTACCATTCCAAGTCTGCAAAAAACAAAACAAAAAAAAAAAAACACAAAAAAAACAGGAGATTTGTTAAGTGGCGTGCTCGTGAACAGTGGAGGATTTTTTTTTTGGATTTTTTATAGTTTTGGCTAGTGCACATTTTTCTTTTAGCTCGCCCGTCACAAAGTAAAAGCTGCATTATCAACATTAGGTCACTGACCAGAACGTAAAGAACGGCGCTCCAGGCGTGTTTTCGGGCAACTGGGACACGCGCGTAGCAATATTGCGTTCTCAATGTCTGTCCATTGACTCGCGGATAACGAAATAATCATAAGTCGCTAAACGCTATTGTGCTTATATGCTATCAGCGACAGAATAACTTACACAACTTCCTTTCGTATCTGTCTGCTACATTCCTTATATGTGTAAAAAATATTAACTTTCAGAATTTCAGTATTTTGTAGAGGGTAATAGCCCTCGATAATAACATTTTTATGGAAAAAACGAAGAGGACCCGTTTAATGCAAGGCTGTCGGAAGCTGGTTAAGAACTGGCATTTTTTAAGCTGTGTTTGGGGGTTTGTTGTTTTAACGTCTTCCTGCTTCCCCACTCCTCAGGGTTTAAAAAAAACAGGCAACACATTTCGCACTTTTAAATTTTGGGAACGGAATTTAATATTTATCCTGAAACTAGTGCAAATGCCCCTTGTAAGTGTTAGGTTACCGGGTCATGCGAGTACTTACGAGTGCCCGAGTTCGTGCACTAAAATGGGGACCATGCTGTATGTGCCAGGTGTGTCTTCTGTTTGGGCAGCTCTTTTACGTACACTGCACATTCCCCCAAGAAAGGCAACACCTGCAAAGAACTTTGACATTATAACTTATGCAAACAAAACACTTCTATATAACAAATTCGAAAAATCAAAGCAATGAACTTGCAAACTGCTTCTTTTATGGTGATAGCAATTACTTGAAAGTACAAAAGAAGGTGCCTCATTTCAACGAAAGTTTCGAAGTTACGCAAAACTTGAATTGCGTAACTTCGCAAATGAATACTCTTGGCCGATGTATAACGTAATCACGCAACAGGAATTATCGCGAGATTATGAATACATCCTCTATTGACAACTTCACCGAACAACCCAATTTAACTTTTCACAATCTGGATTATGGAACTGGAAATCTGACTGAATTGTTTCTCGACGCCTGGTTCCAGATTGCAGACAAAGAAATAATTTTTGAAAACCTGAAATACAGGTAGAATCAAGATAGATTTCCAGTTCCATAGTCCAGATAGAAAAGCTATGCTGGGGTTTTCGGTAGGGAAGCGATTTTGCTTCAAAGAAAGCATCATTAACTATTCAACAGCTCCTTAGAAGTGCACGTTATATGTTGGTCTCGGGTTGCCAAAGGCATGGCAGCGCTTTTTGGACGAAGACAAAAGAAAGGACAAAGCGCTGCAATGCCTTTGGCAACCCAAGACCAATACCAACTAGCCCAGCATTCAGCATTGTTAAGTCAAGTTATATATTGACACTGGCTATATTGGCACATTGGTCAGAGAAATAAAACATATTCAGGATAATATTGGCGGACATCTCCTTCGAATTCTCGGCCTCCACTGTGAGTTCTTCGCCTTTAGTCGCGCTTTAGATGAACGTCCACCCTCCAGGCTTACGAGACGTCGGGGAGGAAAAACTAAGGATCTCCCTGCCGTTCTAATGCTCTCATTCACGTATATAGTAGAATCAAAATGTGAGATGGGTGTCACAATGGCGTGTCGTATTTTTACGCATTTATTTCAACGTTCATTTAAGCGCCACAAAACAAGGAAAGGGTGAAGAATGACGGCAGTACAAGGCGAACTCATGAATGAAATAAAAAAAAAAAAAACATGCACACTATTTTCCAAGATGCCCACTTATGCTTTAGAAGATAAATGTTCCTTATCAATGAAGGCCAATGAAGGCTCGCTTACACACTTATCATGGCCCATTGTTTTGTGACATTTTCCCCATGACTGTGTCTCGTGGTCTAATCACTGTGTATCCATAAAATCGCTGTCAATAAAACGTGGAGTGCACTCACATCGGTTGAAATCAACCGCTAAATGCTCCGAGGGTGACTGCAAGTCCTCTAGCGTGGCTATTCATACAACACCCAGTTTGGTCCACATAGGAGCGCCCGCATACAACGCCTTGTTTGGACAATATGCGGAGCGCAAATTTGTCTTGTCACGTTCCTTTCACTCGCTTCCTTCCCACCCTCGTGTCATCCTATTGACAGCGGTCTAAGCCGCTAACCACTGGCAACATCGGCCGGCGCCGTGTTGGCGGCGCGACACCTGGGCAATAGTTTAAGCAGGCCACTTCCCGCTGACACGGTCCTGGACTTAAGCATTTCTCAGCGAAGAATGTTTGAGGGATCAGCCGGAATGTCTTTCATCTTGGGAAGGCTTCTATTCTTCAGTCTATACTGGACGATGACGCTGGCGGCCCAAGAATGACCAGGCGACATGTTCATGGATGTCGCCTGGTGCATGATCAGCGTGTGCGCATGGGAAAGCTACCTGGGTGGAGGTCGAAGCCCGGGAACAAACGCTTCGCTACAAATGGCGAGCATTACTACAGGGACTCCCTATTGGGGAGGTGGGTCCAAAGGACCCTTTAAACAGTGCAGCAGCAGGCTGCGAGAGTGTAATTTACATCGCAGCAGCAGGCTGCGATGTAAATTACACTTTTTAAACAGTGCAGCAGCAGGCTGTGAGAAGTATTTACATCGAAGCAGCAGGCTGCGATGTAAATACTTCTATGCATATGTAGTGCATAGAGTTTATCGTAAGAAACCCTTCCGTCTCCTCATGTTCCTGCCTTGAGTGGTCCTTCGGTACCCATCTTGGACCGGCCCTGGCTAATCCTGCCTGTACAACTCCTCGGTCACAACAGCCGTAACCCTTGAATAGACGAGGAATGTATTCCGACGTCACCGTGTCATGCCGACGTCACCGTCACCATGCTAGGTAGACCTCCCTATTGAGCGTCCCCATGTTCCACATACCTGGCACACGCCACCTTTCTTGCGCTATGTATTGAACCGTGCCGAAAAGTGATAGGGCTTCGACGACCTTTTTGTCTGCTAAGCGTGAAGGCACTCATAGTAGCTTGGGTTTCGCATCCTTTAAGTTCGTGTCGATGATTAAACTTTTTTTTGTTTTCTATTTCCACTCTGTACTTTACCGATTTTCAACTTTTCTGTGGCTTCGGGATCAGCTACCGTCACCATCCACACGTGGCCCATCTGAAACTGTTCTAGGGACACCACTTCGTTCAGATCGGTGACTCTTCTGAGTACATCGCGAAAGTCAACTAAAGGATAATTCAGACCCGTGAGGTGAGCGTGGAGGAATGGCCGAAATCGGTACACATATATAGGGACAAAGGGGGCCGGTACGGTGTTCTCCGAGTACATCTATTGATTTTCGTTACAAGTATAAGAACCAGAAGTAGAACAGTTTCTTCATTCTGAGGCTGATTGTTGATTTTCGACGAAGAACACGAATGCACGACGGTTTAAAACTACGTCTTTTTTTTCTAGTGCTGCGTCAACGCGGAAGCTCGTGAAGGGGGCAGCTACTAAATGTGCTGACATTTTTTTTTTCAGCATCCGACACCGCGGAATGTGGCACAAGCGGGTAGCTCCGATGTTTGCTTCCGCTGCTACACGAGGGCTCGTTCAGTCAATATGCAATCGAACGCAGGGAGCTCGCGCTTATGTTCGCAATTGTGCAGGGAACGAAAAAGAGGCCTAACTTTCGAAAGGGGATATAGCACAAAGTACTCATGGAAAATATCAGAAATACACTGCAGAGACTAACTGATATAGGTGGAAGGGAAGGGGACATCTTAGGCTAGAGTTTTAGTAATGACGTGAATGGAGTAGTGGTGTTTCACGACAAAAAAGTGAACCCTAGAAGTTAGAAGAAATGTAGAAATATACAAAAATCTGAGGATATCGCATACTGAATGAAAATATATGTAAAGGATCACGAATAAAATATAATGAGGAAAAAGAAAGTAAGTTCAGCAGTTTATGAAACCTAAGATAGTGGAATTATATGAGGCATAAATTGGTCAGCGGGAATTAAAAAAAAAAAAGGGATGCTGGTTTATAGATCAGTCTTTTCGCAGTAAGGTTTGAGGTTCAATCCGTATTGGAATTTCGATAAAAGGGCGTGGGAAAATTGGCGCTCGGAGTCTATGGGAACACAAAAAATGAAGGATACGTGGGGACATGGGCTGGTCGCCCAGAAAGACCACAGGTGCAATTACTAAGCACATTTGAACAAGGCTTCAAATAAATGCAGGATAAGCGGTAGTCACGGAAAGTGTAAAAGCAAATATACATATAGAAGTTAAACGAAACTTTAATGAAGCAACCTCGAAAGTTGACATTTAAGTGCCTACACAGTAGTGATGGGGCTGATCAGATTAGTTCGATGAAAAAAGTCTAACAGAAGCAGAAATGAAAATGGGGGAGGGAAGAATGCAAAATACGACAGCTCTAGCAATGTGCAGGCAAAAAAAAAGAAAAAGAAAGAAAAACACAAGACACAAGAAAGGAAGATGTGTTTCATTATTTATAGGGGAAGCTCTTTGCTGGTTGAGGCAAGAGCGCACGTGTTAAGAACGCGCACATTAAGGGCAAAATTTTAAGGGATAAACGCATATGTGCAATGTGCCATTGTGATAGAACACACTAGATAACGTTATTTAAAAGCGCACGGGACTTTTCTCTGCCCTCTCTAATTGGGTAACGAATTCGACTGGAGCGCTAGATTTTGCTAATGAAAATGAATGAACGGAAAAACAAAATAATATAATCCCAAAGAAGTATTTTAGAAGAGTGTTTCACAAGTTCTAGAGAAGCGTGATAACACACAATATAATAAGGTAGCGTTATACGATTTAGCGAGACGCATTTTGTAAGAAAAGTTAAAAGAGGGGGGGGGGGTGTATAGGATTCTAGGCTAGGTAATGCAATCTGCTCCCCGATGTAAAAAAAAAAAGTACAATCAATATAATACATTCATGCATCCATTCTATGATAGAAGTCACGGTTACAGTAAGCGTTCTGGTCATTTTCACACTGCCTATAAGAAAAAGGTGATCTTCGCAACGTTTCGATGGATTACAGTGTTTGGCTCTAGGGAGAGAAAAGCAAGGTGGGTTCATTTTGAAAACAACTAAGTACTAAAGGAGGAAGCAAGGTTTGTCTCCATTAAAGTCAAGAAAATATAGCCTTCATTAAAAAACAGCGTCGAAACACTATAGTTATTGACGTATTGTGCAGCAAAGCACCAAAGAAATAGCCTCGTTTTTACCCTTTTCAGGCTTCCAGATAAAAGAAACAGAACAAAAGAAATGACTCTCTCGTCAGGTACAGTTTTTCAGTGCAGGCGGTGCCTTGTGGATGGGCTAAGTATGCTAAGAAAAGATGATCGGTGTGCGCGCTGTGCGAGGAAGTAAAATTTAGTGGTTTCTTTGTCAAAGGGGAACCTAGATTCGGAGGGCAAGCTCAAGAGGGAGGAAAATATAGGTACGTTTCTCAAGAACTTGGATGCCATTGTCCCGTGTGGAATTAAGCTCCCTTTCCGTGAAGTGTAAACCTGGCTCCGGCGTCGTGACAGATGTACATCATTCGACGCTTCGTGAGCCCGAACAATTTCTGCCCCAAGACTCTTGGAAAATGTATGCCACAATAGCAGGGTGATTGGTAAATGGGGAGTTGGCGTGCACAGACAAGAAACATATAACAGTTCCTATGTTTGTCTATTTAATTTATGATCTTCATCTATATATATTTCTTTTGGGTCCAGAAGGCAACATAATGTTTAGCATGAATACGGCCTAGTACATATTCAACTAACTTCGCGAACACACGCTAGCACTTCCAACCCCTCTATCGCGGAGTGCCGGTTTAAACGCGGCTAGAGCTGTGCTTTCGACGCAGAAAATATCAGGTTTCCCGCGTGTAATTTAAGTCATGAGAAATAACTGAATTACAACCCCGAGACAACATGAAAATGTCTGAGTTCAAGTTTAATCAGTAATATTTGCGGTGTTTTCAGTATAAATGCCACATACATGTGAAAAGGTCTACTCTTACCCAAGACGCTGTTAGAAAGTTGACCAGATTTATAATCCGCAAGGTCCAACCTAGAAAAAAAAAAGTTTAGTATTGTGTATTTCCAAACACATATTGAGCTTTTCTTTTTCGTGTGTGAGCGCAGGGCAATAGCTAACTGCCGCTTCTCTTCGCAACTCGGCGTGTATTTAATCCCTTCACAACTCCCTCACATTTCGGCCACCAGGCAGGCGCCACTTGCGCTGAACGCATGTGGAGAGCCATGAAGAGCATTTGCATCTTAATTTTATACTCCTCCTGCGCCGATTGGTCCCAAGAGCGAATGCCTTTCGTTGTCGCGAGGCAAAAAGGAAAGTGGGAGGCGAGGCGGAGGCGCTTTCAGACCATCGATGCTCTTGTCACCTCTTTTCGTATTGCAAACGCGGCCCCTGAACCACGGGATCCCGCTTGGACAGTCAAAAACACTCGACAATCCAGGTACATAGGATTAATGGCAAAGCCGCCGGTTTATGCTTTCTATAGTGAGCGCTTTATCGGTGACATTATGCAGCCATTTCACTGCCGGCGGATGTAGCCTGGGGTCGCAACGTAAATGGAAAAACTCTTCTTTCCTCCTCTCATGGCGAGAGCAGAAAAATGTCGTGTATTCCCACTGGCCGCGCCGCACGAAGAGAGAAGAGAGGAGAGCTCCGATGACCCGCCGGTAACGGCGAAAACTACGAAGAACCGTCGTCTGCTAACGATAACTTCAAAACAGGGGCGTCTCGCTAGATATATTGTCTCAGCTGAGACCGGAAAAAGAAAGTACTGCCAAAGCCAGCGCACGAGCTGAGCGGGACTCAAACCGTGTCTCAAGACGCTCGCTTTCCCCAGCCGCCGCTGCGGTACTTTCTTTCACCCAGCCTCAACTGAGACGCCGTTCCAGCAAGCCGGCCCAGATGTTATCAAACATTATTTGCGTTATACGAAATCTCACTTTTACAGTATCCAGTTGATACGTTGCAGTGTTTTAGAAACTTCCACCGCGTTCGAGTTCTCAATAACATCTCTACTTCTTGAACGGAACTCGAAACGTAAAACGTTAAAGCGTGTAGTGCCAAAGCCCGTCACCTTCCACCCTCCTTTCCTGCAGAGCTTGGCCTCTTTTCTCTGCTTGCGCCTTGCTCTCCGCTCATGGCGAACGTCAACTTCTCCCCCTCCGTTCACCGCTCAACAACATTGGGAAAACCTGCGCCGTGGCTTGCGTCGGCGCGGTTTTTCCCGTCAATGTGCGTAGAAGTAAAAGCGATAACGCTCTCGAAATGCGGACAAAATGGTGTTCCCACGTAGCCTCCTCAGGTGCGTCACGACAGCATTCCGCCCATATTTCGCGTAAGTGCACATCTATCGCTTTGACCTCTTCGCACATTGCTGTCAAAAAGTGAGCCCTTTGTGCCCCACGTCCTTTCTGCTGAGTGGCGTCACCTCTACTGGAGTGGCCAATAGTCACTGCTCGCTGAAAAAACGCAGGGCGTAACCAGTCTTCAGCAACTTATTATCGCTCCATAGCCGATAAGATTTCTGCATCACCATATAGGCTTGTTGCACTCGGCCAGGGGGCGCAAGTGCCTCTAGAATGCGCGACCGTGTAATGTTCGCTTCGGCGTCTGGAAGACGCTACCATGAAGGCGGCGTTGTAGCGTTTGATCTTGCACGAGCACGTTCGAATGCTAGCGTCTGTCAGCCTCTGTTCATACACCTAAAAAAAAACAAAATAATATAAACAAAAATGTACAGCTGGTGGCCACAGCGTCCTATCGAAACGCCAAGAACGCATTCATTTGAGCTGTTTTGTATGTTTCCTTTTATTATTTTTATTTTTCAGAACGCTCAATCGAAACGCGACCTAAAAATATTCTATTTTGCCCGCCTTCAAAACGTGAGAGCTTCAGGCCTAAAAAAAACTGCAAAATCGAATGACAAAGCAAAAAGCTCGAGTATGTTTTAAGAGACACTGAAATGAAAAAAACAAGGTTTTTTAAAAAGGCGCACATACTTGGGACCAGGCACGTAGCCGGGAGGGGAGGGGGGGGGGGGGGCATTGGGCCCGTGCCCCTTCCGAATTTTTCTATTCTGCTGGGACCTCCTCTCCCTCCTCCCCCTCATACAGCATTTTGTCATGGACGTGCCCGTGCCCCCCCCCCCCCCCCCCCCCCCCCCCCCCCCGAAGCGAAATCCTGGCTACGTGCCTGCTTGGGACAGAAATTGTTTTGGGTATTCTTGAACAAAATTAATTTTTCGCGTAGTATTTATTTTGTAGGACGCAATTTAGATGGATGTCACTGCCCGCTCTAGCCCCGCCCACAGATCAGTGGTTCGAACCATTAATAATGGCTTAGCTTGGCTGCTCGGCCGAACATGCTAAGGAGATTGGTGCCTCCCTTTCGCGACATTGAGTGCCGTGTATACAGAGAGTTTGGTCAATGGGTACACCGTGGTTAATGGGAGGCGCGGGCAGAGCCAGGGCGTGCACCATGCGCAGAAAGTGGGCTAGATATGCTCCCTTGGCCAAACAAAAGCCTAAAGGAATCCCCTAGCGGTGGTAGTGAGAAACTGTTTTGGTCCAAGATATATGTTGGTATATGGTTTTAATTAGCGCGTAAGAGTTAAGTGTAGTAACCCTTTATGGTTGAAAATATGATGCACGTGATATTTCGACCATGACCATGCAGTCAGTTGTAAGAAACGAACGCGCCGCTCAGCTCTGTTTTGCTCGACTAGAGTGTGACAGCCCGGACGACAGATTCTCGGCCCTCGGCGCTTGGCGTCAAATTAAGTCGACCGTTTCGCTGGTCACACTTTTCTACCATGACTTTTGATGACCATAATTTAAACATCACGTGCACCAAATTTGTAGCCACCGAGAGGTACTCCGACACACTTATCAGGTTTGTTTCTTGCGACCACCGCCAGGGTATTATTTCCAACTTCTAACGGACCTTTTCCGAGAAGCGTTCTGCGCATGCGCGAGCGCCCGATGCCAAGCGGCGGAAGTCGGAACGAAAAATCGAGGAAATTCGGAAGGAGGCTGTGGATCAGCGAGTAGAACAGGTAATTGCAGCATATATATGATTGTGTTACACAAAAAAAGAACGTCGACGGAAAGGAAAACACGACGTTTGGGTGGACGCCACGGATGCCCCTCTTTAAAGTCGAGTTGGGCAGGCGCCGCTGCTCAGAGAGCGAAGAAACTGGTAGCATAGCTCCCATTATCGATTGGTAGCGCAGGTAGGTCACCTCCTCGATTTTTAGTTCGTGCAGCCCCCGCCTGGTGCCTTCGGTATGTGGAAAAGGTCCAATGGCCACATTCGAATTTGTGAAGGCCCCCTGGAACACGCCCAGCCCGCTTTCCACCAATGGCACCTCCTCATTTGTCTCTTATACTTCCCAACGAATGGCCAAACTCTCTACATACTCGGCTCTGGCGACATCCGGTGCGTCTAGTCTGGCATGTCTTGTCTGCATGAGAGCAGACGCGCGTCAGCCTCCGGCATCATCTGCTATTCCACCACCGTCTATTGTCGTCTCTAAGGCGCGTAGAGTGCGGAAATAAACCTGCGCGTCGGCGTCCGTTTTCGCCTTCGTAGGTCTCCCATCCCGCCGTCCGTCTAAAAACTTCTGCAACGCTCGCTAAACACGACCACGAAAGCGGCGTTCTAGCGTTCCATTATGCAAGAGCCACGGTCCAATGGAAGCGTCTTTCAGCGTTTGCCTATGTGCGGTAATAAGCGACCAAGAAAACAAAAAGAAATCAAGTAACAGAATTACGCAGTCCTTCCAGCTTCAATGTTCTTGTTATTTGTTTTCGCGTGGCATCCGCGTGCAAGGTGGGTGAGTGTCATGACGCACAAATAAGACGTTACGTAAAACTATTCGCTTTTGCAGACCAGGTGCATTGCAAAACTTGACAGCTACCTGCCTTTCAAAGGGAAATGGCGAGAGCATACGTAAACAAACGATGCGAACCAAACGTCCGATTGCCTCCATCCAAGCGGCTCGCAAATTCTTGCCCCTGCACTATTTGTCTTCTCGGTATTAGAGTATGGTTGCAAATTGCATTCACACCAGTTGCACAATTCATAAAGCAGCGGGGCCGTTTTTACGGGAATCAACATCTTTATTCAGCACCAACATACGGAAAGGAACAAATCAAGCCGATCAAGCAACATAGTTGACATGATACGCTAGGCTTAGGACCAGTCTCGCTACGAACCTCAGCACCCGCAGAGCTCTTCCGAAGGCGCGTACTTGCGGCAGTTGTTTGCTGCAAGCTAGATCGGCTGAGGAGATATTCTGCTATACATGTCGGTGAACGCAGAACGACACGCCCTCATAAAATTAAACGAGCCCAAGGAGCTACGCTTGTTCAGGACGTCACAAACGTCGGCTGCCATGTTTCTTATGGTTTCAAACCCAAGCGGAAAGGAAATCTCGGGATATTTTAGAAAACAATAATTATTCTATCTAGATTATTTATTTCTCGAGCATAAAAAATATTGTCGATAAAAATACTATTACCGCAGGGAGAAACAAACTTACAACGAACATTTCACTCGTCAATTATCACTCAAACCATTGAGAGTCAAGAAAAAGTGTTAGTTATTTAAACACCGGGCAGGGCTACCCCTACCAAAAATGTGTCTAGCAGCATAAATACTGCTCTACCCAAACTTTTTGTCCCGCAAAAATAGGTCTTCAAAAAAAAAAGAAAAACTTATTTTTCTTTTTAGTGTTACTCTAACTACGTCCTTGGCCATGGCCGTTGCATAAAACCATATACAAGCTGTCCCAAAATATCTTTCACACACATACACACACACACAAAAAGAAGAAATAACGGAGCACTTCTTCTTAGAGCGAAACCAACTACAGGCTGTTGGCAACCGTTTTACGAAAGTCCACGAAGTGTTTTGTGCATCTCGTTATTTAAATAATTAAGACAAATAACTTCACTTTCTAAGTATTTTCAAGGTCTAAGGCGGGAATGGGAAGGTTCTAGAGCTTATTGAGAAATATTACCTAAATATTTACTTATTTAAAAAAAAAAATTTGGTGATACAACGAGCTTAACGTTTTGATAAATATGAACATGTTTTCCCTCAAGGGTTAAACCAACGCTGAATGTCTTAAAATTGTATGTGGTGTGCTTAATCACTTAAAATTAGTCCTAGCTTCAAAGCGTGTGTATTCATTGATTGTTCTTACGCTGTAACCAAGACGGTGACGTCAGCAACAACTTTGAGCACATTGGTGTAAACAGCATCCGCAAGACTGTCTAGGGTTTCTCCAGAGAGCATGTATTTTTTCCTGTGAGTGTTTGGCCTCAAGACATCTCGATCCTCTACTACTTTCGTAACAGGGTTCATCTGTAGAAAGCAAAATATAAAATTGCGTAACGAGTCTCTTGGCAACACAAAAATAGCTGCGAATATTTCGGACAAACTTATAAAAGGTCACATACCCCTTTTATAGTAGTAACACCAACCAGAATAAACTGGACCCGTGGATTCGGAAAATCAGCGTATCTCAGGTTTATCTTGAAAGTATGGAAAACATTAAAACGTATGTTATATTAGTAAGCAGAAGCCTAATTGGATGGAGGCAGGCCTATTAGTCATCCCCCCCCCCCCCCCTCCCTAAAGCAATAAAAAAAGAAAATGTTTGTTGCAACTATTTTACCCGAGCAAGAACCCAAAACCATAAAAAAACATTTACATAAGAAAGGGACATATCGGAAGGACTACTTAGAAATGGCTAGTTTGGCATCTTCCTCTTCTTAGCGTGAATTTCGTATGAACTAATTTTGTATCTCTATACGCCTCCCTGGTGAGCATGTTCTATTAACGCGATAGAATTAACGAGCTCGTGTCGTAGAAAAGCCGGCGTCGGCGTTGGCGGAACAGGAAAATCTTGATTGGTTGATTGGGTCATGACGCCACAGACACATGACCTCGCGCAGAAATGTCAAACAACCCACAATGCTCACGTGAAACGCTACGTCACGCGTGTAATGAAAGTGATTAAAACATGACATGTAATGCGATTGAAAGGTCGCCGTATGCCTTAAAAGATATAGTGCATCAGATGGAGTTGCTCTGCACGCTACCGCTGGCATTCGCGCTGCGTGGCCGCCACCGCCGATGCTACGGCGCCGTTCTGGCTGTTCCTCCACCACTGCCACCTTTTGAAGCCCCAACAGCCCCGCGTAGAGCACGAGCTTCATCCCTAATTCTTACAACGCAACCGATCGACTTACACTTCCTTCGAAATAATAATTATAACACCATGAACGAGTCACTTTTTGCATATCTCGATTGCAACACCGGCTGCTTGGCGGGGACGTCGACACCTGGGAATAGCGTCGTATCACTTCGGCAACCTTCGAGCAGCAATTAAAGAGGCTTGTAATAGAACAGCCTCCCTTTGATATTCTCCTAACTTTCTATGGTCAAGTGATGCTGGTGCAGTCGCTTTCGTGGCTGCGACATCAACGTCATCGCAAATATCAAAACTGAAAGGTTACAAGTGAATACAGTTTGAGCTTGTCCGGAGCAACCAGCGCAGACACTATCTTAGAATCGCTCGGCGCCCTAAACCACTTTTCTACGGACCAGTTGGAGCCGCGCTGCGATCGCTCCACCGGCTCCACGGCTACTATGGCACACCGAGAGATCGCTCACACTTCGCGAAAGGCGCAGAAATACTCTCAGCGAGTGAGCGCCTAGCGCTGGCTATTTTTCAAGGGAAGGGAACATATGATTCAAAAATGTTAATAATGAAGTTGCAAAATGTTATATGTTGATTCCTCCACTTGCTGTGAAATATGTCCTATGTAATGTTACATTGAAGTTTTCTCTTTCGCCAAATGCAACGAGCAGACAAAATGCGTTATACGAAAAAGTAAAGAAACATTACACTATAAATAATTTATAAAGAGTAGTCATACCATTTGAAGAGCTAGTGATGCATATCTTAAGAGGCTGGGTTCATCTGGAAAGTGTTTGCTGTGGTTCTCTTCGAAAACAAAAGACACCTCGGCAAAGAAAACTTCAGGAATATTTACTTTGGGTCGGATATCTATAAAACAGTAAAATGCATGTGCGAAAAACGTGCATTGTATTGAGTTTTTATTATTAGTGGCAGGGTAGGGATACTGTACAAAATGTATGGTGCTGCCTTGGTTTCTATACTAGTAGTAAGTAACGTACGAGTCAACGAAGTTATCCTGTCCAAGAATAACCTACGCAATTACAGCCAAGTGTGCTGCCTTAACCTGGAATCTCTCGGTCTCTCATCTTACGTACCTTTCAACCTCGCTTTAAGGTAAATCCTTCGTAGGCACCGAAATTTCCATTACAGCAACCTTTCAGAGCACAAACGACATTTTCTTTATATAATCAATTTAAAGCAAAAAAAAACAACAAAAATACACATACAGTAGTGAACAAAAAAATATGATATTTCACTTCTTTTACAGAAGTATTGCTCGACGTCCATTTGATGGACTCATATTTAACAAAGCATCAGTTTCTACTCTATAAATACCTTAATGTAGTGCTCAATTACAAATTTTTATATCTGTATCACAGTTCGAAGAAAAGTTACCCACGTAAAACCGAAATATCATCTTTTTGTTCACTACTGTATGTTCAGTTTTATTTTTATGCCCTTTCGTCAATGTAACTGTCTGTGAAGGCATTGGTTTTGCGTAGATGATCCTATCGTAATGTACAAATTTTCTCGAGTGAGAATTTATTTTACGAGCGCATACAGAGCGTGAAAACGGTAGTGCGAATGCGGGATGGACACTATTTTTTTGTTTTGTTGCACCGTTGAAAAATGTCATCAAAACTACTCCGCACTAAAATTGGCTTATACATGGCATCGGTTTACGCGACACCGTTTGTTATTGTGCGCTAAATCATAGGAATAAAGCAGAAGTACTCATGCTGTGACGAATGTCAAGAGGAGAAGCGGCGAAAATCCTTCTTCAAGCTGAAAGTTTAATGGGCGAACACGTGGCAACCAAAACAAAGAGCGAGCGTCGAGACTGCAGTAAAGCGGCCGGCGGTTTGGCGGTGTAACAGCAAGTGAGAGCGAGACTGACACTTTCCAGAACAATAAAGAATGACGAAATGATAAAAGTTACATTCAGAGCAAGAATAAACTTGAATCTTCTGGAAGTCCGTGACCGAGTGTTGCTAGCGCGCTGCAATATTACGTTTGTGCTGACTGGGTCCCGCAGTTTACAGTTTACATCGCATTTAGTGTGTTATGATAATAATAAAGATTAGAGTTGTGCGAATAGTGGCTCGAATCGAAGGCTTCGTCATTCATAGCCTTGACAGTCTAAGGGAGTTCAAAGACGACCGGTTCTTTCAACAGTGCAGCATCTAGGTATGAAGCTGCGCTATTCGCTTAGAACCACTATTCGCAAAACCCTAATAATGATGCTTTATTTTATATGTGTCCGGAAACAACCACATCGGTGGCCCTGGTGATGCACATTACACTAACAGCAGGCAAAAAAGCCAGTATTAAAACTCACACAAGAAAAATCTAGGGTGACAAAACTACTACTGCATACTCAAAAAGATAACATTGATTTAGGATTTTTAAATAAAAATGAAGAAAGCAAGCAAAGTATAAAATTTATCTTGTCAATTTTTATAATCTTCTAGATTGTCCGTTAAACGATGTAGATAGGGCGTGCACAACAACAGCTAATAATACTAATAATAGTGATGATAATAATAATAATATATAGTAATATTTATCGCTCTGCTTTATTTACAGATATACTCGCTTTATATATAAATAGGCAAAACATGACGTTCCTTGAAATCGGTCTATAAAAACCTTAGATCCGGAGTCCAAAAAAAATATATTAGGGTTTAATCAGCGAATTGACTTACGTTGTCGTCTTAGCGGGATACTCCGTTCCGATGGGACTGCAAAAAAAGATATTTAGTTGTATAATCATTTCACAATAATATCGCGAGCTTAGTCGATATAAATAGAAAATCACTTCGAGTAGTTTCTAACACTGTTGCTTTTCACTCGAAGAACCATGGTTCGATTTATGACAGGTCAAAATTTGTGTCATTTGCTGATACTTTTGAAAAGGTCCATATTGACGGTGATAATTATGGTGTGTGTTTACATAGACTACTGAGAATGCATAAAATAAATAGGATTTCATTGTGGGTGTTAATTCATGATTTCCGTCAGGGATATGTGGTCATTTTTCTAGCATAAGTTTGCATAACTAAACAATATATGCTTGTGAAAAGACGGTGAGTGTGCAGGCGAGCTGGTGGTAGCTAATCATGTCGTATTACACCTGAGACTGCGGCGGAAGAAATCGGAAGAACTTTCAGTAGAAGGAACAGACACAGAGAACGTCTCAAACTCAGCTGAGTTAGAGAGCTGAGTTTGAGACGTTCTCTGTGTCTGTTCCTTCTACTGAAAGTTCTTCCGATTTCTTCCACCGCAGTCTCAGGTGTAATACGACATGATTGGCTACCACCAGCTCGCCTGCACACTCACCGCCTTTTCACTAATAGTTCCGGAAGCAGGCTTATTTCCCTTCAACCATGGCCCCGCGAGAGCTGAGTTTGAGACGTTCTCTGTGTCTGTTCCTTCTACTGAAAGTTCTTCCGATTTCTTCCACCGCAGTCTCAGGTGTAATACGACATGAATATATGCTTGTTTTTTCTTGTTGCATTTTTGACTGTTGACTTATTGCTAATTAATTTTGGTGCAGAATTATTATGACCTATTATTAAAAAGAACATCTCGCTGATGGCATATCAAAAGAGTTGTAGTGGAAATGTAGAACCAGTAAAATTACTTTCAGGGTGACGATAACATTTCCTGGAGAAGGGATCTCCTTCTCCAGGGATTATTTTCGTCATTGCTGTCCAGCTCGCTTGCACCTTTCCATTTAATTGCATTATCACCATAACCTTAAGAATGTATGCCGTTCACACCTGTTGGTATTAGACTACTGGCAGCTGATAAAACCCATTTGCTTTGCTGATGTCTGACCCCTGGTTAGCTCAGTTCGTAAAGCACCCCACTGGAAATGGAGAGGTCCCAGGTTCGATGCCAGGCCCGGTCACATAGCTGTGTTTCGCGATTTGGGTTTGTCTTTTGTCCTCCTGTTCTCATTCTACAGGAATTATTTTCGTCATGGTTGTCCAGCTTCCTTGCCGTTTTGCATTGAATTGCATTATCATCATTACTTTCAGCATGTTGTTAAAAATTATGGTCTGTGTGTTTTTTAAACCCAGATGCCCACATATTATTAGCCACGCCGGTGGATCTTCCAGGCATATTCCGAATTTTGACTGAAGTTTGTAACAAGTTAGTTATCGCCCCCATCTTGCTTCTGTTCGGGGAAACCACTGCACAAACCAGCTTTAACCCTTTGTGAGACAGTGGGACACATATGTACCACCTGTGAGAATTGGTTCAATCGAGTCTCTTCGGGTTCGTGAGACACCGGCGTCCCAATTTCTCCATTAGCGCCATCTGTGAATGTCAAATGCAACTTTTCCTCAGTTTTCTTTTTCTTCACGAGACGGCGGAAGGTTCAAAACATGTACTTGCTTTTGTAATCGGTTTTCGAAGCACCGATCCGTATGTGCCCATCTTTCGGAAGACACTTCCTTAGTTCCCGAATGTCAACTAAGTTGCCCTTTACATTCTACCTCTTCGTAAGCATGTAAGCATGTAAGGAGTATGGGAATAAAGTATTAGCACGTTTTAGATGGCACATGGGTTTATATTGTTGAAGATGTACAAGCATGTGTGGATTCGTTAGGCTTAGCAACAACCTTTTTACAGCCAATGTTATTAGGTGGCTCGCCGTTCCTGCTGTTGCGATATTTTTTTCTAATAGCTGCCGGAGCTTCCATCTAATGCTAGGAGATCTATTAGTGCTTTTTCTTTATAGGAAAAAGAAAACTCACTGTCGAGGAGGCTTTAGAACTGTTCTTTAGTGTTCTGGACGACTCGGCGAATGACGCGTCCAGCGACTCGGATGACGATTTACAAATTCCCTCAACATCAGCTTTGGCTCCGGCAGAATCATCAGAATGCGATGATATGAACGAACAAGCAGCGAAGAGGCGAAAAAAGACGTACAAGCGACAAAGACGTAACAAGAAGACGCGTGTCCAGCCTGAAGCAGATGCTAGTCAGAACGGCGATTTCAATGGTATGCCATCACCGCCTTGGTATGGATAGCTGGGTAACCCCAAGACATTCCTGAAAAAGCTCACTGAAAAACCTCCAACATGCTCTCCTAACCTAAGCACAGATAGCAGTGCCTTTGACGCGTTTAGTCGTTCTGTTAATGAAGAAGTGTGGACAATATTTGTCGCAGAGACAAACCGGTAGGCTGATCGGGTGGAAAAAGCTAACTGGGAGCCACTCTCAATGAGCGAGCTGAAAGCCTACACAGCCATGATCATTCTTATGAGTATTCATTCCTTGCCCCAAGTCTACCTGTACTGGAACTTAGATCAGCTCTTTATTGTGAAGGAAATCTCTCGCGTGATGACCTTCAAGCGTTATCAATAAATCACAAGCTGTTTGCACCTCAATGATAACACGCAGCAACCAGAGCGGATCCCGCCAGGATGTGACCAGTGCTATAAAGTGCGACCTCTTATCGAAGCTATCAACAAGAAATTCAGAAAAGCATACAGCTCGTCATTTCACTTCGCGGTTGATAAATCTTGTTTTTTTTAAGCGTCGATCGGCAATGAAACGATACGTGCCAATGAAACCGAAATTCAAGCGGGCGTACAAACTCTGGAGCCTCGCCGACAGTGAGACTGGATACCTCCGCCGATTCGAAGTAAATCAATGATGCAACAGTGAAAGACTCACTGATCAGACTCTAGAGGAACATGTCGTTCTCTCGCTGACGGAGAATATAGTAGAGGAAGGATCTCAAGTTTTTTACGAGAATTTGTTTTCGTAATCCAAACTGCTCCTGCAACTACGAAAACGAGGAGTGTTTGGCTGTGGCACATTCAGGACCAACAAACGATGTTTTCCCCCAGAAGTCAAAATTGTCAGCAAGCGTTCTTGTGGGGAGTACCTCTACCTATCAGAAGGGCCAGTGTCGGTTTACCAATGGCGAGACACAAAGCATGTGAACATGATGCCCAATTTTCGTGACCATGAAGAACAAGCTTCGATGAAAATGAAGCTTCCCTGCGTAGAGAAGATTCAAGTTACATGCCCGATGTCAGTCAAGGACTACAACCACTGGAGGCGGGGGGGGGGGGGGGGGGGGGGGGAGCGTTGACTATTTTGATCGAAAACGCAATGCTTATCCGGTCGGTCGACGGTCGAAGTGGTGGCATCGTATTTTTTACTTTCTGGTCTATGCAGCAATTTTCTAATTGTGCAACACACGGCATTTCACAGCGACGACGATGTGACCTTGCTTCACTTCGAGGTGCTACTCGGGCGACAACTGATGAAGAGGCAGACTTGCCGCACTGGCACAAGGTCACAAGAAGATTTCCAAAAAAACAAGGAAGCCGCCGTGGGTCGTTGATTACTGGGGTGCCAAATGAAATTCGTCTTGAGGGAAAATAAAACTTTCCTAATGAGAAATGCCAAGAGGTGAAGGTGTTAGTGGTGCTCCACAAAGAACAAGGAAGTCCGCACAAGATTTTGGTGCCGCACCTCCGACGTCCCTTTTTGTGATGGGTGCTTCTCCCCCTTTCACTTGTCCCAGTAAACTCAAATAGAGGGCACTCGTCATTCTTTGTCAATGTCCCACGTGGGCGATGGGACATACGCTGTCCCACTTCAGTTTCTCGCGCTTAGAGGCTAGTGGGACATATGTTGCCCGACCAACTGTGCCTCTGAATTTTGTTGCATAACTATGTAGCTTGGTTTAAAAATTATTTTTCTTGTTCAATGAGGCATTTCTGATATAAAAATAAGTGAACTAATAAATGACTGCTCGCGCCTTATAAAGGGAGGGGTTAGAACAGAAAGATTAAACACTGGGGTTATTCTCTAAATGAAATTTTCGCAGGTTGCTTACTATATATATACTACGTTTTGCGTTTTTTATAGCTCTATACAATAACAAATTTTCTCTTTTTGACCGCTTCCGTCTGGCGACCAAGTAAGTCAGAAATAATTCTGGTGTCCCCTCCACTGAGTTGTCACACTGTACTCATATAGTTGAACACGCTGTCATTCCAGCCTTAACTCTTCTCGCAGCGCTTGCAAGCTACATGCTACTCTACTACTGTCATCCCTTTCCTCCTGTCCTCCTTGTTGCTCCTAGTCTGCGAAAACAGAAGTTTCCAGTCGCGTGAGCGATTCCGTGTACTTCATCGGCTCGATACCCAACAAGGAAACAAGGAAGCTGAAGGCCAAATCAATCCAGGCGCTGACAGAGCAGAGTCTGTGAGTGCACGCAAAAGACGGCCGGAGTTGTGCCACCGCGCTGCTAGGGACACTGGTACATCTCTACATGACAAGTGGAAAGACGTGGCGTACTACGGCACCGGCCTTTCAAATATGGGAGCCTTCCTGAATGGGCCGATCTGAGTGGCCCGCAATTCTGTCAAACCTACCCTCGAAACAAGTTTTTTAAAAACATATTAATATATATATCTGTATATAACGAAGTAAAAGACTCACGGTGAGAAACAACAAACAGCGAAAGTTCCTCCGCTATCTGTTGATTCTCACCGTGAGTTTTTCACATCGTTATATATACGCCTTCGGCCCCTTGGCTCCCCTGCCACCATGCCCACTATGTATATATATATATATATAGGGAGAGAGGGCGAGCCTAATGGGTTTAAATAAAATAACTATCTCATATCTTTTCTTCCTTTTTTTCTTTTGCTGCGCTGTATCTTACTTATGTAGTCGGTTTTGAACTCCTCCGGCTCTTCGATTTTGAAAACCTTGTGTGCCATGTGTCCATCTTCAGAGCGTCCCATCAGTGGCAGAGGAGCAATCCTCAGCGTGTGACCCAACGACCCTCTCTGCGAGTAACATAACGATGGCTTATGAAAAATCCTAGACCGCAAAACTCTTTAATAAACTCTTAACTTCTGGTTTAGTTTTAGTGAAGAACAATGAGAGAATGCGAAGTATTCTAGTTGGTTATATTAAGACGAATGGTAAAGATTCCTTAAGATAAAAGCTTTTTACGTGCACTCAGAAAACTACGTTAGATCTTATTTTCCTTTTCAATGTCTGGTAAAATATTTTGTCTGCATAGCATAATATGTGTCAAAGACTCTATAAAATACTATTTAAATGTGTAATAAAAAAGCCCCCTCTCAAAAAAAAAATAATTCTGAAATAATTTTAGCATGTCCCTATTAACGGTTTTAGACTTCAATAACCACTGAGCATGTTTTACATTTTCAAAAAAATTTTCATGTAATTTTCGTAGATATTTTATAGCTGTAATTGAAGAAAAGAAACAGTTTCCAACATTTGAACCATCAAAATTAATGTAAACATTGAGGTTAGAATATAGTGTGTTAAACTAAATATTTTATAAAGACAGGCTCCAAGTAAGCCCCTACTATCAGACCTTTTTGATGAAAAAGGACTGCTGGAACGCTGCATGAGACATTTCTCTTGTACACATACTAGAAGTCCACACTTATTACAAGAATGTAAATGAAATATTTTAAAGCTTACCGCGGCCGAAAACAACTGCTGCTGAACGTTTTCTGTAGCTCGTGTGGAAGATATATTTTATAACATCCAGATGCAAGGTCTTCCCGAGCGTTATGATTATATATGATAATAATAAAGTCAGCTTATTTTCCGTCGTTGATGATCCGGGCCGATAGAAAAAGCTGTTAAGTGGAAGCCTGAGGAGCTCTCGGCCCCCGTTCATTGGCAGGCAACGGAGGCAAAACTCATGAGATAAAGCTTGCTGAAAACAGCTTATATTAAATACACACGAGGGTGAATATAAAATGTTCGTGCTTAGAATACCCTATGAATAAGCCAATGAATGGAGTGCACTAAAACTTTCCGCACAGTTGTCTTTAGATGGTGTATTTATCATACTCAAATTAAGTAACTGTAAGTAACAATGAAGAAATTCGGGTCAAAAAAAGAAAAACGGATTGTTTTTTTTTTTTTTTTTTGATTCCAAAGAACAGAAAACGCGAAAGCAAACCGTTTGACTTCATTACGCAGCTACTCACGTGTGCACCACACACGCACGCATCTGCTGGATCTGCTTTGGGGTGTTCATCTCAGAGAAACGTTTAATAGTTGGTTTCATCTTGCATCATTTGTGCATAGAAGAGCGACAACCAGACAGCTTGTGTATGTTGTTCTGCTTATGAATAAAAATGAGGTGATTTCTGTTACTTTAATTTGCCTAAAGAAACCACCAGCCATGAAATTTGAGGATCACGAATTCTCCACCCTATAGACACCTTTCTAAAAATAGTTTTAGTGTACTTAATTTATTGGACTATTTCTACAATTTTGGACGTCTGAGTAGTGCTGGGAACCACCCTGTAGGCAAATTAAGAAGTGTAGCTCTTGCTCTGACTCAAGTTCACAGTAGTACAGAAAACCGAAAACGTCAGTTTAAGCTAATGCAACTCTAATAAAGCGATATACAATATTCGGGAGTCACTCTTTTTGGCTGTGTTAATTTCCACCTTCTCTCTCTAGTCTTATAAACTTCATGAATCCCAATTTTTACCAGGGACCTTATAAATAATAAATAAATGAATTATTTAATGTATAATAAGTTTGGCACTGCTTACCACTTCCACAGTTCCGTCTTTTTCCGTGACAGATACCACTGCCATCTGACTTTGATCATGGTAAATGTCCTTTTCCACTTCCCTTCCATCTACCTATCAAAAAAAGAAAAAAAGAGGAATACACTAAGAGTTCCTAACAAGAACTCAATGAAGCATTACAATTCCTTTCTAGATAAACTTGTTTTTACGCAGTTTACGTACGTGGCAAGTAAACAATGCAAAAATATAGTTGTATTCGGTCATGAACGGTTGCTACACCTTTACCCACTAGACAATGTAACCTAGCAATTCGGGTTTGTGAAAAAAAATAAGGAGGGGGGAGCGGAAGGGAGGAGGAGAGGAAGAGGGGGAGTGAGGAAACGAGAGGAGGAGGAGGGGAGGGGGAGTTGGGAAGGAGAAGGAGGAGGAGAAGGAGGGAAGATGCCAGCTACCCGTTATGCAGGCAAGTGATATCACCATTCATAAATCACACAGAGGCACGAATGAGGACATGGTGTACTCGTTATCTAAGTGGTCATCTACATGGGTACTGGTCTGTGCTGTACCCGTCGATCTCTGTGACACGTCAGACGAAGTTCGTAAATTGCGCGCCGCAAGCTCGACAACGGTTTGCTCGTGGTATCTCTAAAGCTCTTGCCTACGTCACTCACCAAATATTTTGTGGAAGACAAAAAAAGAACTTCATACAAGTCATGCACGAAAACATCCTATGCGGAGGGCAAGTTCGTCTGCTTCTTGCGCAGGGGGTAGCGGTGACGTCAAAACGACGAGCCCTGATTGGCTGATCGCGACCCCCTATCGGAGCGTCGTCTGCTCCTTTGCAACGTCGTCTGCTCGCAACGTCGTCTGCGTCTGTCTTACATTTCCTGCGACTTTCGGAAGCGCAGGTCTTTACGAGCGAGCTCGACTTCACCTTTTAGAGAGGGCAGACGAAATAACTCGAGCGGCACGTTGTTTTTGTCTAACAACTAGCAGGCGCGCATCAAGGAGAGAAGTGAAAGGACTCACTGGCGAGGTGTCCCGAGGCGCCAAGGTTTGTTTGCTAAGAACCGAGAGGTGAGGGTGACTAGCGTCCTCAAGTTCCCTCCCAAATACTCTTTCCTTCTTTCGTGTGCGGCGAGACTCCTCACTCTTTAACGGCGTCGGCGGGTTGGCGCGGTTGGCGCAGTTAACGTCTGCTTTAGGTCTGCTAGTCAAAGCGATGGCTGCTTTACCTTTCCTGCGTCTGTCGGAGATTCACCGCTCTCTGAAAGGCGAAGTCGAGGTCGCTCGTAATGACCTGCACTTCGGAAAGGCGCAGGAAATATAAGACAGACGCAGACGAAGTTGTGAGCGTACGACTTTGCAAAGGAGTAGACGACGCTCAGAAAGGGGGTCGCGATCAGCCAATCGGAGCTCGGCGTTCTGACGTCACCGCTACCTCCTGCGCAAGACGCAGATGAACTTGCCCTCCGCATTGGCCCCGAGCGACGTGCACTCGCTCTTCTGCTGTGCCATCTCGGGAGAGCACGCTCAAGACTAATGCTGAGGAAATCAAAAACGCCGAGCAGTCTTCGACAGAGCCGATAGCAAGTAGGATGGCATCGAGAGTATCACGTGCTTCGCCAAAGTGTTCACTCTAACGCTGTCTCGTTCTCCCACCTTGCTCCTGCTGTCCTGTTTTCTGCCACCGGCAGAACTTAAACAGAGTGGAGCTTGCAGATGTGAGAAATATATTTTCCTTTTTCGGACAAGCGGTGAGTGAGAATACTACAATATATATATATATATATATATTGCATGTCGGTCGGCTCAAGCATTTCAAACCTCGCCAGCCCGAACCTTAGCATGTTGGCTCTACCTTTCGGCCCGGATGGCCTACTCCGAAGAGGGAGCATTTGTGGCGACCAAGTGGCGCGACCAGCGCTGCCAAGTTGGGCGCCGAAGTGCTCGAGGGACAGCGCGTGCTGAGGCGTGATTGCGCGCGCGTTTCAGAATATGTTCAATCTTGGCTGGGCAAACCGTCGTCTCCGCCTGCGACTTTCGGAACTTTCGGGGACTTTGTCCCCAAAACACCTTCACAATATATATTTCTCAGATTTTTTAGTATGGCATATCGCAGAATCGAAATACCCCAAGAGAGGAGGAGCAGCACAGGGGGAGAGGAGGAAGACGGGAGGAGGAGAGAGTACAGATAAGAAGGAGGGGCACACCCTCCTCTCCCTACCCTCCCCTTCTCCTCCTCATGAACTGCGCTCTAATTCGACGTTACAGGAAGTTATAAACGCCTTTAATTTTTGAATTTTGTTTTTCGCTGTAATTTTATGTTTTTGTATTTATGTCCTGAATATATATTTTTCAAGTATAATTTATTTTTAATGCTGGCTAATGTTTTTCCTGGACAACAAAGGAAAAGGTCCAAATTTACAAATTTAGTGTCGCAGCGCATAGCCTTGGTGTGCTCATATATGTATAGGCAACAAAAAAAAGTATTTATGAATTGAATTGTGAATTTATGTCGAAAGTGACTTGAAGTTAAAATGCAAGAAGCGGGATTCTGTGGTCAATATAAAATTTTAAAGCTGTAAAAATAAGTAATACACAAGATACACATACGTTATTATTTGTTAATTATATAAGATACCATCGGCATCAATCTTTCTTAAGCACAAAATATATTAAAAATAAAGCTTTTGCGAGCTCTGTAGGCATGGGCAGGTTTTTGGGTTGGAGTCAACTTATTTTTTCGGAAAAGGACATGCACCTGCGTTTTCTTGGAGGAAATGTTTATCTTTTGGTGACAGGGTGAATATTAGGTTAACAAAACGTATTTCAGCAACGCTTGGCCCGCAATGTCATTTTTTTCTCGACCCCCCCCCCCCCCCCACCGCCGAAGCTTAATCCATAAATATGGCCCCGCTTCAAGGCATATATTGTTATCTACTTGGAACGTATGACATTCTTGAATTATAGGTATTCCATGCATCTGTTTTACTATGAGTTAGGTTTTGCAAGGTATGCATAACACACTTCGGCATATTACCATAAAGGAGTTTCTTATGAAACTTCATTAGAAACAAATCTCGGTCAAACCATTGAGTTAGACAGTTATAAGTAGCGAAAAAGAGATGTACTTCAGAATAACAAAACGAACTTACCAAAGTATTCAGTTGCTCGTCGCCATTAAGAGTTGATACAGTTAAATTTTCGGCGACTACAGAGCTCTTCTTTAAATGCAGAGTAATTTTCTCATCGACTTGAAGGAGCTTCATTCCATTCATTCCTCTTGCTTGCAGAAGTCTTGGGTAAACAATATATTCTTTCGAAGGTCCTGAATTTGGGATTGTAAGAAAATAATCTCATTGCAAAAGCCCACTTGTATAACTGCAATATTTTGGTTTCATTTCATTTTACCAGCGGCGCTAGGTGATTAAGGAATGAAGTCATTTATGGATACGAAACTGGTGTGCACACGGCAGTGTGTCAGACAAAGGAAATCTGTAGAACCCTTACCCTAGATTGCCTTCTAGCCTGCCGCCATGTACGCTGTGAGTCTGAATAAACCGAAGCTAAAACAAAAACTGATGTTGATGGTTAAGAATGGAGAGGGGAACGGTGAAAGGTGTGGATTGAGGAAATTTATGATTATGTCAACACGCCCGATGACATTTCGGTCGCAAATACTCTGCAAATTTCCCGGGACTCCTTGCCCGATCTCGGCAGAAGGCTGCGAGCAGCAACGGTATGGACAGGGACTCTCCAGTGGCAGGAGGCAGCAGAGATTAGCTACGTCGCTCAGTCCTGCCACGAAGAGCATCTCAGGCGTCTCGACCTTCTGCTGAGGCACACAACGGCGGACAGGTGAGTTCCCGAAAGAGTTCCGTCAAGCAGTTGACACAACACACGGATTCCCGTGATTCTTTTTCTCTGCTCTGGGGACCGCCAAGAGCTTTCAACCGTGCGGGGAACGACCCGTTGGTTGCTTCCGGTGACCACACGCAGATTTTAAGCGACGCACGGAGCTGCACACTCTCCACTTCCACCACTAAGTGCCAATGAGGGGGAGATCAGAATGCACACCAGTGCTCCAGTAGAGTTAGCACCAAGGATGTGTATAGTGTGCCAATATTAAAGAAAAGCGAATGTTGGCGAGCCCGGATTGTCAGCATATAGACGCTTTGCAGCAGCTGTGCGTGGGCGCCGCGATAACGAAACTTCAGGTTTTCTTTCTTTTTATTACGTTTACTTCACTTCGTCATTACCACAGCAGGGCAGGGTATTGGCATTTTAGGTTCTACTGTGTCCTTCTCCTCAGCATTGCCCTTTGTGAGGGCTCGTCAACGCCCGCTTGTGTAGCTCGGCATCTCAGTAAAAGAACAGAAGGTCAGCAATTGCGGCGGTAATCTCGCGCTTGCGCGAAGCGTCTATTGAAAATGCCAAAAAGTATTAAATGATCAGGAGGGAGAAAACGTAAAAAAAAGAAAGGAACAAGTTGAATGGAGTTCGTCAAAGTGAGAGCTAAAGCACTTATAAAAAAGAATATAACTACGTTCGTTTATAGCGCTACACAATGTGAAACATTGACGCAGTTCAAAGCTTGAATAGTTGATTGAAGTACGTTATATATTCACAGACGACTCATGGCTTCCTCTACCGTTAGAGCGGCTTATTTTGGAGCGCTTTCGGATTGATTTTTTTTTTTTTAATTTTGGAGACTTTTGCAGCAAATATTGATATCCATGCCATTTCGACAGATCATGCCTTGTGATTATGTAATTAAAGCAATCAGAAACACCTAGTTTACGCAGCTTCACTACGGACCATGTAGAAATATATGTTTTTCCGAAGCGCGGGAATCGGGGACCCCCAAAAGCAAATGACACGCTTCATTCGAAATATAGTGTGATACTTTTGAAATTATTATACGTTCTCCTATTTCTCCGGGCGCCGGGGGAGGCAACAATAATTACAATAAAGCGACATCTGAACATGTTTTTTTTTTTTTTTCAGGTAGCATACTTCGAACCGCGTAACCTTTTCACTTGTTCTTCTTCGTCTCTTTTCAATGCCGTATGCCATTTGCGTTTTTCTTGTGCCAAGGTTGAACAAAGAAAATGCTGGACCCATATTCAAATGATTCTTAGTACCCTGGACTAATTCAGCTTATGTAACGCCGCGGTCAAAGTCACCCGCTCCAAAAACTAAATTTTGTCTCCTAAATGCAGAACCTTTACCTCTGCTATGATGCGGCGTAACATTTGAGCAAGGCCTATGGCAAACCCCGCTTTGACGTCACTAGCAAATACAAGTAATTCGAGCAACACGTGTCCAACTGTGTATTCAAAATAGATGAACGAATGAATGCATGGAGGCCGTTTCTTTTTGATCGACTAGTGACTTGCGCCACAGAGTCAAACTCTATAATTGCTGCTGCGTTAAGTAAGGTTAACCCAATTTATTCAGAGTGTACATCTATTCCTATCTGTATTCTGATCACAATTCCTCAAATAATCTTTTACCTTTTTTCTACTTCTTGAATATGCTTTGCTTTACCTTGTTGTTCAAATCCCAGGTCCCGAAATAAAATAGTGAACTTAATTTTATGATGTCCTTGGGTGATCGAGTCATTTATATTTTATGATAACAAGCTCTGGTGTTTTTATTTTCTCTTCACTGTAGCAGATGTTGTATCCAGCTCCTTGTATTTTATCTTATAGCTGCCGATTCGCAGATATCTGTGGTCTAGCCTCCAGTACTAACACACCGCCTCTAGAATTATCAATGATTCCCTTCTTTTAATATCAATGTCTCTTGCCATGTAGCTGTCGAAGGTTGGTTCCTTCTGCATTCGTGCTCCCGCTTCTTTATTACTTTTTCCTTTACAGCGCATTGCCAATGACTTCATCTGGCGGAAAGGTTGTGAAGGAGAGAAGCAGAGAGCTACCACCTATCCAAGTGTGCTGCGGAAACTGGCGCGTCCCTGCGGCCGATGTGCGAAACAAAGGAGGGGGTTAGTGCACAAGATAAATTTGCTCCAAGAGCAAAAAAAAAAAAAAAAGATGAACCTGCTTTTGCAGCATTGATCCTCTTCGTACTGAGAGTAGCTAAAAATCTCGCAAAAACACTTTTTTTCTCACTCCAGAGCTATGAATATTGTTTGAAATATAGCAGCAACATTAAGTCTTGCTTTCTAATTTCTACATTGCAATTTTATTTATGATCTTATATGAATGCGACATTGATGGCATTTGTTGTAAACCAACTTTTGTTACAACCTGAAAACTGGGTGCACATTTCTTCGCCCAACAAAATGCGCGGCCCATAGGGCGTTACATTTTAAAATTTCTTCCGTATACGCTGGGAAGTTAACTACTCTTTATTCTCCAGAATCAATATTTGCAGCTAATTTCGGTAAGAGTACGTGTAGAATGTGGTATGCGTTTTAGAGGAGCCGTTCACGGTTCACTTTTCTGCTCCTGCATCCGCATTTGTAAAGAGCTCAAGCATTAACCTTGCATATAAACTTTTACAAAACTCTTTTAAAATAAGGTATTTAGCATAAATATTCATTGGTATGAGAATTGGAATTTAAATGGGCGCAGAAAAAGTATGAGAGTAATTTTGTCGCGTATTACCATTTTTACTTTCACAAATTTACGATTACCTTTAAAGCCACCCCATTGGGTGACTTAAGCCTACACTTGTTCTGCCGTTCTATAGACGTGTTTGAGAGATTCTGCATTCAATGAGCTTTTTGCTTCGAAAAAGTTTATTCGCCCCCCAAAAAAGTTTACATGGGTACCTATCACATAACTTGCAGGTTTTCTCTTGGCTAACATATAAGCACGTTTATTTTTCGATATCTTATACCAAATAATGTACAACATTGCGGTCATGATGTATATATCTTGCCTTATATAAAATCAAACGTGCGCGTTTGGACGTAGCGATCGTTGTCTGTACACACCAATTACCCTTTGCGACGTACATATACTGCCCAAAGTGCACATTGCCAAGCAGGTATATTTTTATGTCATGTGGTGTACTCTGTAGCATAACGAGACTTTCCATCAAACTTCTCAGTCGCCTTGTGCATTGTTTCTTTAGATTTCCACACACATCATTCAGGTCTCTTTCTTGTTATAGAAGAGAATTCTGCAACTCGCGGTTGCACAGCGTGGCTTTTTAACAGGAAATTTGACCGCGTAATTGAGGCAAGTATAGCTTCAGATATTCAATGCTAAGCGCAAAAAAAAAAATCTTTATTGACCGAACTTTGCGGTATTGTGATGCATGCTTATATGATCACGTTCACTGTTTTGTTTTATGCGATTCTTCGCCTCAAATGTTTCTACACTATGTTTCTCTTTCACTCTTTCGCATAACACGAGCCATAGCCTCCTAAATACTTAAGAAGTCTGGCAGACTGCCACGAGAATCGGCCGCCGAAATGAAATAAAGGTAGAGCGGCATACAGCAGATGAGAGGAGAGCCACGGGACTGGCGCCCCGCTGCGGTGAGACGCCCAAACGAACAAGTGTGTTTCGGGTCCTCGCCGCTGCAAAAGCTGTGGGCTGACGTCCAGGTTCCCCGAGAAATGGCTCTTTGATGCTCTGTGCTACCAGATCCTTGGTCTCTAAATCTGCGACCGGGCACCCTATGGCTCCGTCATCGAACTGCGGGGCTTCGTGAGTATAGACCCTTTCTTCAAGGGCGCCGCCATCTTGAATTGTCGCCACTTGCTGTGTGGGCGAAAACATTTTTTTTTTTGCCGTCGCCACGCCGGTAGAAGGCGCTTAGGATATAAGCGTAACCGTCACATTTGTTATTTTGCCTCCCCCTTATTTTTTTACTAGTAACAGGTTGAAACGTTTTAGTATTTTTTCGTCGCCATACCGGATAAGCCTACCAGGTGGCTGGGGACGAGAGTACACAGAAAAGGTCTACAGAGGAGACTATGCCGGGCCGGAGCCTCAAATACAATATAATAATTTCTCTGGTAGCAGATGACAAATACTTTTGCATAGTGCTAAGATAGTTATCGCTATGGAATCCTGGCCATTCACGAAGCCGAGCGAAGGTTCATCTGGAGTAATCTGCGATGTGACAGGGGGCATGAAGGGCGGTCGAATACCAAGCAGAAATGCGAATGCAAGCGAGTGCGGGAGCCGTAAAACGTATATCTTTTTTTGGAATGGCGTGACGTCACAGATAACGTGTTCCGTTTCCCGCTCACCGCAATGAGAGTGGGAATTATTTCAACATTCGGCGGCCCGCAGCCTTCGGATGGAATCAAGACGTGTGTGCGTATGAAGGGGTTGGGCTCTTCACTTCTTGGGAACTATACAAAAGTACAAACGGAAGCTAAGGAGCATTCACTTTTGTCGTATTATCATCCTCGACATAACTAAAAAATACTGTCAAGGGACTTCTTTACCTTCTTTGGCCCGTGGTGTCAATGCCTGCGCGTTTTTTTTTCTTTCTCCGCCGCATCCAGCGCATCCAACAACCACCTTGACCCCCCCCCCCCCCCCCCTTCCCTTACTTCGCCACCACTTCCATTTGATTTCCGTTGGCCATTGCTGGTGGCATCATACACATTGTGATTGGCCGCCTGGAGAACCGCCGTGACGCCAGTTCACCAATCAGCTCTGGCCGGTGATGTAATGATGTGTCCTCCAAACTCCACCGCGCACTTTCGAACCGTCACAGGCCGCAGAAATGAAACAAAATACCCGTGTTTTGGCTCCCTCACCCACCCACACCCGCATCCATGTTTGCTTTTGTGCAAAGTAGAATTTATGGCCACACTACATACCGAATCGGCGAGAAACTTCTTGTTTTTTTAGGAACGGAGAAACTTTTTTTTTTCAAATTTGTGTGCTATTTGTAACAAGCAAATTGGCATTGATAATCATAAATATAAAGGTACCGCACTGTACTTCAAAACAAACAATCGCGGGAAGAAGGTGTAAAAGATTACGTCCCGCAAAAAATGTTTTTGACCACCCTTTCGTTGTCTTTTGTTCTTTTCTACTTATACAGCGGAAAGCATCCCAGATGTATAATACTCAAGGCACCCGAATATGTTCTCAGTTTTGCAAGATTCTTGTTATATATAGTGTCTAATTTTGTTATCCTTATTTGTGAAATCTACATTCACATTTTTTTTCTGTGGCGTATATTTATTTGCTGTAACCCTTACTATGATAGTCTCTGAACGATATCGATAGATTAATATAATATACTTGGCACTCATGTTCCTTTGAGAGTATTAGGATGCAGATTAACGAACTTCGAAATATGTTTTGTTTAACTTATCTGCGTTGCTTTCACGAACAGCTTTATGAAGGCTCAATTCTGCATTATTCACTTCCAATATCTACATTATATTGAAGTGGTTCTCGTGGTTCTGCATGACCGAATCGCCGAATCTCGTTGAGTCAGCAAGTCCCTCTTGCTTCTCGAACATCCTCCGAGTTTATTTTTTCTCGTCTCTACATGTATCTGGTGTGGAGATTTCTTGATAGTTTCTATTAAGCTTACTTTGAGCAGTGCTACATAACGACTACAAAAAAAAATTATTGAATCTTACTGACACGGTTAGTGTAGATTCAACGGGCACACGCTTAGATTACTTTTATGAATGTCCCATCCCTAACTTACCTGCCCGAAGGCCCTCCGCCACCATGGCACAAATAAGCACTGAAGCTAGAAATGCAGACATTTCTTCTGACGCCTCACGTTAACCCGAAACTTCCTTTTAAAGACGAGAACTGGCCGTTGCATAACAAAAGTTAGCGTAGTGACGCCAGCTTTTAATTGTTCATAAAGTAGCTATTGTGAGGGTGTTATTTGTGATTCATACGATAGGGATGTTTTCAGTGACATTTCCGAAAGTTTGAGACCGACCGGCTTATTACCTCAGAAGTCATGTGAAACTTTCGTGATAATTATTGGCTGACCTTTTTGCATGACGGAATGTTTTCAGACTTCTTTTGCGTCATTCCTTATTCTTACGTTGGAAGCTTTCGCGCAGTAAACACTCTATTCAGATGTTCCGTATGAAAGGTCGGGGCGACTTTATAGATGAAGAGTCAAACGGATAGGACTTCGAACAATCGAAAGGAATGTCAAAAATATTTTTTTAATTTGTGTTTTTTATAGGTCATTCTGGCACATGTTGAAAATTTTCTGGTTGCCTTGTGTATGAAGCGTACACGGAATAACTCCATTTATTTGATGCTTGCTGAGAAATTTGGTTTCAGGCTGAGGCACCACTATGGCTAAATAGACTAAATAATTGACACTTTAGGATAGCTGCACTTCAACCTTCTTAGTGCTTAAAAACATTGATGCCAGTTACCAAATGCTTTATCTGAAATCACAAGAACCGATTTTCCTTCCTCCTGAAATATTAAAACACTTTGAAAAAGTGAAAAATGGTATCGCCTGAGCCCTCTGACACTGCATCAAGACCGAGGAAGTCACAATTCCGAATCGCAAGAAGCTTTAATGGACCCTTTCCGAAATCGCTCTTGGCAACAATGAGCCGCTGCCTCGAGGGCGCTCGCAGTTGCGGCTGGTCACCAGGATCGGGCGAGGCACCGCCCTTATGGGGTGGGCGCCTGCGATTGCAAGCATCACCGCCGCAGGTCTTGATTCGCTATCGTGGACCAGGGGCTTGGTTGACATTTAAAACTGGCATAAACTACAGATAAAGTAAATGACAACTACGTCGCCCACAAGACGGGCGACCAAAACCGAAAGTGCAGTTTAAGTTTGTGACTGAAAGTTGCGTGACAGTACGTCCGCAAAAACGACGACTTCGTTTTCAAGTGCTTCGTTTTTACATCGGCAATTGATTAGGTTGTCGTATTTTAATTGGCGACGCTGTCCACATTGGCCATGAAATCGCTTTCGCGTCTCGTTCGCGATGCGGTTTAAATCGACAACCGAATTGCTTGTCACGCCATCGTTTGCACGATCGCTTTCCTTATCGCGTCTTCAGCAGCAGCAAGATAAAGAACGATGGCCTCGACGGCAGTGGCAGTCTTTTGAGACGATGTTCTCTCCTCTTAGATCTTTCAACAAAGAAGAAAGCAAATACTCTTGACTCTATTTTCGCGGCCTCGATATTTCACAAAATTGAAGAAGTGTTGGTTTCGTGAATATTTGGCGGGCACAATGTTTTGCGAACTTGGAGGAGTAGGCTTAATATTCCTTGCCATAGGGTAATTTATGTTCGTGATTTATTCTTCGCGATATTTTTGATGACTTAAACTTCGTGAAAATATGTCCTCGAGAAAATTAGGTTGTTTACAGGGTACCTTGATCAACTTGTTGCATCAAGAAATGGCGGCTGCCCACAGACGATTGAGAGGCAGCCAGCCTGACTGAACAGCTTCAGCCTATAGCGTCGCATATTTTATATTATTATCTTTGGCCCTTGATGATTTATACGATTTCCCGGTCACTTCGAAAAACGCATCACTCATCAAGCAAAACGGTGGGCCACCTGGAAGAAGACAGTACCGGAATTTCAGAAGAGCGTAAAAGCCACGCCCGAATAAAGTACCCTCGGGGAGAGCTATGTGTTGGAGCACGTAGCAATGATAGTTCTTTAACTTCTTTTTGCTGCGCATATCCTGACGTTAATAATTTTTTCAGCTTAGGAAGCGGTCACTTAGCAGATGTCGTTTATATTGATGCTGTCTGTTTTTGTTGACAGCTGCGTTTTTGCAGCGAAACAGCAGATCTCGTCCTGTTTCGGAGTTTATCCTCCACGCCTATCTGCTTGCACAGTCCCGCACAGCAATAAAAACGCATGTAAAAAGATGCTGTGCGGCCATTCAAGAGTGCTGTCCTCTGCGACCCCATAACACGTAATCGCGACTTCGGCCCCGCCGGAGCCGCGCACATGACCGCTCTCAGCGAGTGCGCATAGTTTGGAATCGGCGCCGCTACATTGCACGGCATTGCTAAAAAGGTCTATTAAGCTCTCTCTTCACCAACGTTAAAACAAAACGCTCAGTTGGGAATCGCGCCCTTTAAACGCGAACCGCTCGCGTCCACCGAAACCGAACAAAATACGATAACAGCGCCGCCCTTTAGCCTCAAGTCAAAACATAAGTGTTCATATCTACGACTACTGCAAAATGGCACTGCGAGATGGCACTTCCGGCCCTTGCGCGACTCGATCTGAACCAATACGTGCATCCGTGCAGTTGCCGGAGTGGCAGCTGCTTGAGAAATGGCGGTGCTGCGATCACCATTAGTTCGGTTCTGAGTACGGATTAGAGTAACTTTTTTTAAAGCAGACTTTACGGCAGTTTCCTAACTCAGCTGTTGCAGTAACGTTGCTCTGCACTCGGCATCAAAATGGCAGCGCCCACAAGAATATTGTCGATGTCACTACTGATAATCTAAGCGTAGCTCTCATAATATAGTGCTACCGCCATCAAAATAAGTGCAGCTTTATTAAAAAAAAAAAAGAAACGTCAAAATAATATTAATTTTCCACTTCCAATATCTTTATTTTGTTCCTCGGCATGTTCGGTGATGTGTAAGATTTTTTTTGAACATAAACCGTGGTTACGCATCGCTTTTTTATGAGACATTTGAAATTACAACTGGTTCGTAGTTTAGGCAGCATAAATATGAATTCACGCTTACCAATATTTTGTTCGAAATGTGTTAGCGGGACGGCCCATTACTGTGCTGCGCCGCTATCATTTATTTTCATATTGAAGTTTAGCATATACTATTTGAACGTTATGCTAGTTCCTAAAAAACAACTGGTAAATAAAAAAGTCGGGGCTCCAATCAACGCGCTGAAGGTGGTTGGCCAGCGAAGCTGTGGCATGACCTGCTCACTGCTCTACACCAAATGATTGACGAAAGAAAAGTGAATGCACTGTACCAAAACGTTTTATATACGAAAGGCTAGTGACATCATTCCCCACGTCGCTAGATGGCGTCGCCGCCGCAGCTTGCGCAAAAGTAATCTTTAATTCTGAAGGTTTCCAGCTGAACGTAGAGGAGGAAAAAAAGCAAGGAGTGGAGAAAAAAAGTGAAAGCCGTTTACAACTCCCTGTAACACCGAATTAGAGCGCAGCTCTTGAGGAGGAGGAGGGAAGGGTACTGGGGGGGATGAAGTAACCTGGGGGGTCACGTGACCTTGGGGGGTCACGTGATGATGCTCATGATGTCATCAGTGACGATGACGATGCGGACTCCGATGACGTCATTAGCGATGATGACGATGACGATGCGGATGTCGGTGACATCAGTGGCGTCACTGATGACGTCATCCGTGATGATGACGATGCGGATACCGGTGAGGTAATCAGTGACATCACCGATGACGTCATCAGTGATGATGACGATGCGGATGCCGGTGAGGTCATCAGTGACGTCACTAATGACGTCATCAGTGATGATGACGATGCGGATGCCGGTGACGCCATCAGTGACGATGAAACACAAATGCTCGCCAATAATTACAAATTAACCTATACCAAAATTCAATACGCCTCGCAAGTGGGCTCGTTTTCGTCTTCTGCGCATGAGAAAGGAAGTAGCGGTGACGTCAGAACGCCGAGCCCTGATTGGCTCATCGCGACCCCCTATCTGAGCGTCGTCTGCTCCTTTGCAACGTCGTCTACTCGCAACGTCGTCTGCGTCTGTCTTACCTTTCCTCCGACTTTCGGAAGTCGAGCGAGCTCGACTTCGCCTTTCAGAGAGGGCAGACAAAATAACTCGAGCGGTAGGTTGTTTTTGTCTAAAATCTAGCAGACGCGCATCAAGGAGGGAAGTCAAAGCACTCACTGGCGAGGTGTCCCACGGCGCCGAGGTTTGTTTGCTAAGAACCGAGAGTGAGCGTGTTAGTGTCCGCAAGTTCCTTCCCAAATACTTTTTACCTCCTTTCGTGTGCGGCGAGACTCCTCACTTTTTAACGGCGTCGGCGGGTTGGCGCAGTTAAGCGCGAAACACATGTACGACGAAACCCTCCGATCCGACGTGCGGACTGCCGGAATGACCTTGGGGGGAGAGGGTGTTCGTAGCATCGGAGAGCGTTGAAAACCCTCGCCTCCGACCGTCGTATTGCGCGGTCGGACGTCGGATCGGACGGTTATGTTGTACGTGTGTTTCGCGCTTTAATGTCGTCTGCTTTACGTCTGCTAGTCAAAGCGATGGCTGCTTTACCTTTCCTGCGTCTGTCGGAGAATCACCGCTTTTTCACCGGCGAGAGTCACTGTTGCCTCGGGAAACAAGGAGATAACAAGAGGAAGAAATTGACCGCTTAATCTAAAACTGAGGTCAGCTATCAAAGTATAAGACTGGAAGGGTTCACAAAGGTCGTGCGGGCATATTCCATTCAGCACGCCAGCCGATCGTGGGCAGACGGTCGCCGAGTCGGAGTGTCTACTAGGCCTATCTGCCGTGCTCTCTTGGTCGTTGTCCGTGGAATCGTGGCCGTTGGAACTTTTCCCGGGTGTCTGTGGATCCAGCGTTCTCTTTCGTCGTGGTCTGTTTAAAGTACGTTTTACGTTTTTCTTGCTGCTTGAAGTCGGGACGCGTGAGAACCGCACGTAGAAAAATAAACGTCCGTTGGTCGTCGCGACCGCGACGCTGTCGGCCATGCTGATTTGATGGTAAGTGCGTAAGACAGCTTCGGAGCTGTCGTAGGATTTCGTCGTAACCTGCGCAAAACTTACGAAAATT